TTCATTTAGCGTGTCATGGTGACATTATCTAATGCATTGGAGATCAAAAATAGTAGTGGCAAATTTACGGTACACTTAAATCTATCTGAAATGCTGTGTACACCTTATCTACTTTCCTCAACTACAAATATAATCATGATAAGTAAGGACTATTACTTTGCAATATATTCAAAATAAAGAAGTAGGTATAAAGTCCTTTCGATTTGTTTAAATCCTCATATTGATAGGAGAGTAATTGCAACATCTTGGGTATTTCAAAGGTTTTATTTAGTCAACTTCATCATAGAGCTATCTATCATTTGGCTTGTTGGCGATAAATATATGGTTGTGTGTATTTTATTTATTAATTTTTTTTGTTACCTATTTTGATTTGTTCACATTATTGTCGTCAAATTTGAAATAAGAATTAAAGAAGATATAAAATCGTTTAAAATTAAGAAAAATAGCCTCTGGTTCTCTTATTTTAGTAATTTTTGAATTCCAAGTGTAGGGGTATGGGGAAAGTAATATAGCTTTGCGGTTATTTGTGAACATTTTTCAATACGTTTAGCCTCTCAGTACTTTCAGTACTTTGATTCTTTTCTGTTTTACCCTGTTCACATAGCCACACTTGTTATTGTACCTAAATGTAGTCATTCTCTAATCGGACTACAAGCTACACTAGTGTTACAGGTTGGGTATAACAAGTTCAATAATGACATGAAATCTGTAGCGAGTTCTGACCATAATTTATTGTAGACATCGAACAAGTATGAAATCTGAGTGTGCCACAAAGTAAGCTGACAAATAGATGTGTCTGATATTGACCGATCGATAGTTTGGTTGAGTTTTGCTGGTTCGCAGGTATTTCACGATTCACCAGTCAGTCAGTCAAACAATGACCGGAACTTACTAGTACCGCGAAATCAAAAGAACCAATAAAATAAGACATGACTGTGACGTAAGACAAAATTAAGCTGACCAATGACCACACGACACTATATAACAAGACAAAAACCGAGACCAACCACTTAAGAACACACGTGACTAATAAACAAGATTTAACAATTACGGAGACAATACAATCCATATTATATTAAAAGTCGATACTGCCACACTAGTGTCTATAAGTAAATTACATTGTGCTTCAAATTGTCGCCGTAATAATTAATATCCTTTTTGTAAATAAAGCTATCGGATAAAGAATGACATTGGTGCTGATTGTAACAAAAATTCAAACATACTGAGAGTCCACAAGTAGTCTGGTAGTACGTATTGACAATGTGAAAAAGAACAACACTGAAGAGAGAAGATAAGGTAACTTATCTAAACTAAGATACGTCCCATTCAATTGATCGCTATTATTTATCAACCAATCAAATAAGACCTTTGAAGTCAAAATGGCCCGTTCCTACTATGCTAGTAAAAACAACCATAGCGACTGATTTATTTTGAATGAAGCACTACAGGTAAGTGCAACAACAAGAAAACAAGATAATTGTCGGGTAGGAGCTCAAATGATATGAAAGTTTGAGAAAACTTATTTATACATGATCATAGTAACTCATTGTACCATACGAAAGTTGTGATGTACTACATGACAAAATTCCTGTTTAATAAAAGTAAGAAAAACAAGGTTCGGGTTGCTTATGAAATGACAAAATAAACAAGAGATCACAATAGGATCTTGGCGCCCAACATCGTTCGATCTTAACTTATTCTTTAAAAGTTGGATCTTTTCAGTAATCTTCTATTTTTTCCTCTGATTTTCATTGCCAAAATCTAAGATGGTCGTCCATCATCCAGTTTGTTCTCCTTATCAGACCCATAATTGAAAGGCTGCAACCTTGGGATACTTCTCCACCTCCTCTCCTCCATCTCCCTCAACCTCCTCCTCCTGCTGTTTTATCCTCCGTTCTCCTCTTTCTCCTCCTCCTCATCCTCCTCCTAATTCTTCTTTTTCCTCTTCTTCTTCTCGTCGTCCTCCTCCTCTCTTCATCCCCCTCCTCCTCATGCTGTTTCATCCTCCTCCTCCTTCCACCTCCTCTTGCTATTTCATCCTCCTCCTCCGTCTTCCTCCTCCTACTCCTCATTCTTCTTCTTCTTCTTACCCTCCCTCCACCTCCTCTTCCTCCACCTCATCCTCCTCCTTCTGCTGTTTCATTCTCCTCCTCCATCCTCCATCCTCCTCCTCCTCCTCCTCTCCTCCTCCTCCAGCCTCCTCCATCCTCCTCTCTTCCTCCTCTCTTCCTCCTCCTCCTCTCCTCCACCTCCTTCCACCTCCTCCTCCTCCATCCCCCTCCTCCATCCTCATCCTTCTCCTCATCCTCCTCCTGCTGTTTCACCCTCCTCCTCCGGCCTCCTCCTAAGACTTCTTCTTCTTCTTTATCTCAACCTTCCTCCCCCTCTCCTCCTCCTCCTCTCCTCCTCCATCCTCCTTCTCCTCCATCCTCCTCTCTTCCTTCTCTCTTCCTCCTCCTCCTCCTCTCTTCCACCTCCTTCCACCTCCTCCTCCTCCATCCTCCTCCTCCTGTTTCATCCCCCTCCTCCATCCTCCTCCTTCTCCTCATCCTCCTCCTGCTGTTTCACCCTCCTCCTCCGGCCTCCTCCTCCTACTCTTCATTCTTCTTCTTTTCAACCTCCCTCCACCACCTCCACCTCCACCTCCTCCTCCTCCTCCACCTCCTCCTCCTCCTCCTAAGTCTTCTTCTTTTTCATCTCAACCTTCCTCCACCTCCTCCTCCATCCTCCTCTTCCTCCCTCCCCTCTTCCCCCTTTCAGGTTGAAAATCTGAACAAGAGTTAGTATTGTAATATTACAATGTAATTGAACTTTTGAAATGACTTTGTTTCTATGTGTAAGAATGTCCATTTTGCTGTCAAATCTTTGTATGAAACCATCTAAACATCCTATTTTTAGTCATTAGAATAACATTTGCCTAACAACTCTAACAATTTTATCGAGCATACTTAACGTTCCTCTAACAATCACAACAACTTCCGGTTTATTCAAAGTTAGCTTACACAGCTGTGTATATAACTGATGAAAATGGATCATTACTTATTGAATGCAATGATTGTGAACCTCTTATCTAGGTTTATGGATGTTCAGCTTAAAGGATTACAAGCCAGTCGTTATAATAGTTAATTTAGTGAGGCACTTTCGCGTGATGAAACCGGAATCTTCTCGCATGGAAAAACCTTTAATGATAATCAGTACGTAATTAAACATTTCTCTTAACAGATTGGCTTACTTTTTACTGGATTTTTGTAAGCACAGAGAAGATATAACGAAATTACAAAGCGAAGAAAATTATTTCCAAGGTATCCCTTCATATGCTGGGTACACATGACGATTCCTTCTGTACGTCGACTCTAAAATTTGACTTTATAATTTGACAAAAAAGATTCGGCTGTGCCCACAAGGAACTTAACTGTTACTTCTTGTAAATATCAGATATATTTTTCTTGTGTCCTCTTGTTTACAAAATTATGATGGCTGAACTGTGTATTCAAGTACGCGACAGCGCATAAAGTATATACACATGATTTGTGGTGTATCGGAAGGGTGTGTTTTTGTGGTTACAAATCCTTTTCGACTTCATATACTGAACAACTTGACGCTAGAGTTAAGGAAACAGACAATATGTCAACACTTCCGCTTTTCTGGCATTCGGATGCTCAAATTTAAAACAGTATGATATGGTCTTAAAATCCGGATAAAAGCCATTATGAAAAAACGAGAGTGAATCCTGGAGGATATAACTGACATTTCCATCGAACGAAACAACTAATGCCAGCCAGTGTCGAAAGTATGTTGCTCCGTGTAATCAGTTTCAAGACATTTGATATTTCTTAATATTCGAAAATGATTTTTTTCCGTCTCTGATTTAATCAAAGGGTTTTAACAAGTCACTATGATACTAAATATGTATATCTAATCATTGGCCAATTCGGTCAATTAAAGTTGAGACATATAATCTAATAACTCATATTCGTACCCATAGATATATACAATGGTAGGATTTCAATCTGAGAGTGCTTAATTCACTCCATTAACCATCATATAAAAATAGATAAAATGTGTGTTTAACATTTTAAAAATAAGAAAACCAATTTAATGATAAACCAGTACACAAGTTATGCTCGGGTCCCTAGGTCCTAATCACATCAAATGCCTGTAGTTTGTATCAATGTGCAAAATTAACTGAACTTTAGTCAAATAGTAATGGAAAGACATATTACACGTTTAGAGCAGTGAAAGTTTAATATAAATTAACAGTTTACATCTTGTGCCAGTCTTCCTTATATAAGTGACACTTCTGTAAACGAAATGAGAAAAATGTTTGCAATAGTGTAAAAACAGAGTGTTACTGTCGGAACATTAAAGTAAGACGTATGCTGAAGAAATAACATCATATTTTGGAGGGTGTGCTTTTACCTTTATGTAAACATCCTTCAGAAAAATGTATATGAAATATACTTGCTTATCAATGGAGGTATAGCAATATTTACATGCGAAGGGCCTTACATACGCAGATAGGGGTCACGAAAATGCAATTCCTTCTTGTGTGATTTGATACAGATTTCCACGAAGATGATAAGTAAACTTACATATATTTTAAGCATGCAAAACATCTGGTTGTACCATACCGACGGAACACGTGTTGGGACCGACCTATGTAACCCCGTTATCGCACCCTCCGGCTGCTCTGGGCCTACTAAGCTGTAGTCTGTTTGGGTAATAATCAGCATTTTCCGTACTTAACATCCAAGAGGTTTTGATATGCTATATTTTGTTCTAGACAAGTTAAATTGGTTGTAATTCTAACTAAGACGCAACAAGCAGACAATACTTTCTCGTCCTTAATGATGCGATGTTCACTTGGGTTACAGAGCGCGCAATCTCCAGCTTCCCGTTTGACATCCGCTAAGTTACAATAGAGGATTGTATGTTAGTTGTGTATTGCTAATATCACGAATACAAGTAATTACAGTGACTTGACGGTTGAGGAGTGGTAAGGTTTTAATTTTAGATATATATGTTTAAATGAAAACAAAATAAGTGAGATCTTCTCTGTGGACCGTGTAACTACAGAACCTGTCATGGCGACCCTGAGAACCGTGGTTTTACTGCTAGCTGTTGTTGGAGTACTGGGATTTAACATCGACACAGAAAATATTGTGATTCTTGATGGACCTAAGAAGGGCATACAATTTGGATTCTCCTCAGGAATGTATCATTGGAATGAGGAAACATGGTGAGGAACAGAGTGTTAAGAACCCTTCTTTTAAACTTATACATTCACATAAGCATGCGTTTGTTTCAATAACGAAATCATATGCTATCTTGACGCTTTATTATGTTACCAGTTATTTTAGTCATGACAAAGGCAAAGTTATTTTTAGCTATAACAATCTAGCAACGCTCATTCTAATCCCACTACGCCACCACTGACCCTGCTATAAAACACCATGTACTCAAAGTTGGCGGTCCAGTCACACACGAGTTCAAGTACTATCAAATACAAAAGCGTAAAACAGCTCGATGTATCATTTGAACTTCCTGGTCGGGTCCCATGGATCATACACCAGTACCAACTCACTCGTACTCGTAACAACCATACGCCCGTAACAACCCTCACTTGGTCCCGCCAACAACACACCGATACTTGCCTTTCTTTTGCTATCGACAACGTACCTGTACCGACCAGCTTCTAGTCCCATTAAGCAAAATCCTGTACGGTCTCACTCCTAATTCCACCAACGACACAATTGTACCAATCCACCGCTATACTGTTCTGACCACCCAAATACCTATACTGACTCACTTCATGTCACGCCAACCAGATACCAGGAACCCCCACCCCCTTCCCAACCACTCCCCACCTCTCTAAAGAAAGTTATACGGATACACTCTCCTAGTCCAAGCAATCACTCACATGTAGGCTCCCACTCCCAGTCCAACCAACCATAAACCTGTACCAACTCATCTAGTCTCACCAACCACACTCCTGTACCAACCCACTAAGTCCAACCAACAAAACACCTGTTCCAACTCACCTAGTCCCACCAACTACACACCAGTTCCAACCCACAAAGTCTCACCAACCACACACCTGTTCCAACCCACCTAGTCCCACCAACCACACACCACTTCGAACCCAACTAGTCCCACCAACCACACACCAGTTCCAACCCACCTAGTCCCATCAACTACACACCAGTTCCAACCCACCTAGTCCCATCAACTACACACCAGTTCCAACCCACAAAGTTCCACCAACCACACACCTGTTCCAACCCACCTAGTCCCACCAACCACACACCACTTCGAACCCAACTAGTCCCACCAACCACACACCAGTTCCAACCCAACTAGTCCCACCAACCACACACCAGTTCCAACCCACCTAGTCCCACCAAGCACATACCTGTTCAAACCCACCTAGTCCAACCAACCACACACCTGTTCCAATCCACAAAGTTCTACCAACCACACACCAGTTCCAATCCACCTAGTCCCACCAAGCACATACCTGTCCTAACCTACCCAACCCACCTAGTGCCACTAACATCACACCTGTCCTAACCTATCTAGCCCATCAACCACACACCTGTTTCAACTCACTTAACCCATCAACCACACACCTGTTTCAACTCACTTAGTATCACTAACATCACACCTGTCCTAACCTATCTAACCCATCAACCACACACCTGTTTCAACTCACTTAGTATCACTAACATCACACCTGTCCTAACCTATCTAACCCATCAACCACACACCTGTTTCAACTCACTTAGTATCACTAACATCACACCTGTCCTAACCTATCTAACCCATCAACCACACACCTGTTTCAACTCACTTAGTCTCACTAACAACACACCTGTACCAACCTACCTAGTTCCACCAACCACACACCTGTACCAACCCACCTAGTTCCACCAACCACACAACTGTCCTAACCCACATAGTCCGCCCAACCACACACCTGTTCCAATCCACCTAGTCCCACTTACCACATACCTGTACCAACCCACCTAGTCCTACCAACTACACTCATGTTCCAACACACTAAGTCTCACCAACCACAGACCTGTTCCAACCCACATAGTCCCACAAACCACATTCCTTTTTCAACCCATCTAGTCGCACTAACCACATACCTGTACCAGCCTGCCTTCTACCACTAACCACACACCTGTTCCAACTCACATACCTGTCCCACCAACCACACCCCCGTACCAATCCGCCTTCTACCACCAATCACACATCTGTTCCAACCCACCTAGTCCAACCAACCACACACCTGTTCAAACCCACCTAGTCCAACCAACCACACACCTGTTCCAACCCACAAAGTTCCACCAACCACACACCAGTTCCAATCCACAAAGTTCCACCAACCACACACCAGTTCCAATCCACCTAGTCCCACCAAGCACATACCTGTTCAAACCCACCTAGTCCAAGCAACCACACACCTGTTCCAATCCACAAAGTTCCACCAACAACACACCAGTTACAATCCACCTAGTCCCACCAAGCACATACCTGTCCTAACCTACCCAACCCACCTAGTGCCACTAACATCACACCTGTCCTAACCTATCTAGCCCATCAACCACACACCTGTTTCAACTCACTTAACCCATCAACCACACACCTGTTTCAACTCACTTAGTATCACTAACATCACACCTGTCCTAACCTATCTAACCCATCAACCACACACCTGTTTCAACTCACTTAGTATCACTAACATCACACCTGTCCTATCCTATCTAACCCATCAACCACACACCTGTTTCAACTCACTAAGTCTCACTAACAACACACCTGTCCTATCCTATCTAACCCATCAACCACACACCTGTTTCAACTCACTAAGTCTCACTAACAACACACCTGTACCAACCTACCTAGTTCCACCAACCACACACCTGTACCAACCCACCTAGTTCCACCAACCACACAACTGTCCTAACCCACATAGTCCGCCCAACCACACACCTGTTCCAATCCACCTAGTCCCACTTACCACATACCTGTACCAACCCACCTAGTCCTACCAACTACACTCATGTTCCAACCCACATAGTCCCACAAACCACATTCCTTTTTCAACCCATCTAGTCGCACTAACCACATACCTGTACCAGCCTGCCTTCTACCACTAACCACACACCTGTTCCAACTCACATACCTGTCCCACCAACCACACCCCCGTACCAATCCGCCTTCTACCACCAACCACACATCTGTTCCAACCCACCTAGTCTCACCAACCACACACCTGTTTGTACTAACCTCAACCATCAACCACACACCTGTCCTAACCCATCTAACCACAAACTTGTGCCAATCCACCTTGTCTCACCAACTACACTCATGTTCCAACCCACCTAGTACCACCAACTACACACCTGTACCAATACAAATAGTCCCACCAACCACACAACTGTTCCAACACACCTAGTCCCACCAACCACACACCTGTACAACCCGTCTACTACCACCAACCACACATATGTACCAACCCACATAGTCTCACCAACCACACACCTGTTACAACCCACCTAGTCCCACCAACCACACACCTGTACCAACCCACCTAGTTCAACCAACCACATACCTGTATCAATTCACCTAGTCCCACCAACCACACACCTGTCCGTACCAACCTCACCTACCAACCACGCACCTGTTCCAAACCACCTTCTCTCACCAACTACACTCCTGTTCCAAAACACTTAGTCTCACCAACCACAGACCTGTTCCAACCCACCTAGTTCCACCAACCACACAACTGTCCCAACCAACATAGTCCGCCCAACAACACACCTGTTCCAATCCACCTAGTCCCACCAACCACACACCTGTTCCAACCCACATAGTCCCACCAACCACACACCTGTTCCAACCCACATAGTTCCACCAACCACACAACTGTCCCAACCCACCTAGTACCACGAACCACACGTGTACCAACCCGCCTTCTACCACCAACCACACACCTGTTCCAACGCACTTAGTCCCACCAACCACACACGTGTACCAACGCGCCTTCTACCACCAACCACACATCTGTTCCAACCCACCTAGTCCCACAAACCACATACCTGTACCAACCCACATAGTCCCGCCAACCACACATTTGTCCGTACCAACCTCACCCACCAACCACACTCCTGCCCTAACCCATCTAACCCACCAACCACACACTTGTACCAACCCACCTAGTCCCACCAACCGCATACCTGTCCTAACTCACATAGTACAACCAACCACACGCCTGTACCAACCCACCTAGTGCCACCAACCACACACCTGTCCTAGCCCAACTAACCCACCAACCACACACCTGTACAAACCACTTTTTATCACACTAACCACTCACATGTACAAACCAGACTACACAAATCACCAACAACCCTCGTCCTATGTCTCATCCAGAAAATCGCTGCCTTCCACCCCCGTCAAATTGTCATATCTCACCCCACAAACGCTCCGTCTAATATTCATATCACACCCTACAAATCGCTGTCTAAACACCTTCTGAAAAAACACAATCACGGCCTACAAATCGTTGCCTGTAAGCTTGATGAAAATTTCCATGTGACCCATAAATCGCTGTCTAAACCCCGTATAAAATATCTATACCACACCCCACACAATTGTTGCTTAAAGCCTTGTCAAATATCCATATTACATCCCACAAATCGCTGTCTAAACCCCGTATAAAATATCTATACCACACCCCACAAAATTGTTGCTTAAAGCCTTGTCAAATATCCATACCACATCCCACAAATCGCTGTCTAAACCCCGTATAAAATATCTATACCACACCCCACAAAATTGTTGCTTAAAGCCTTGTCAAATATCCATATTACATCCCACAAATCGCTGTCTAAACCCCGTATAAAATATCTATACCACACCCCACAAAATTGTTGCTTAAAGCCTTGTCAAATATCCATATCACATCCCACAAATCGCTGTCTAAACCCCGTATAAAATATCTATACCACACCCCACACAATTGTTGCTTAAAGCCTTGTCAAATATCCATATCACATCCCACAAATCGCTGTCTAAACCCCGTATAAAATATCTATACCACACCCCACAAAATTGTTGCTTAAAGCCTTGTCAAATATCCATATCACATCCCACAAATCGCTGTCTAAACCCCGTATAAAATATCTATACCACACCCCACAAAATTGTTGCTTAAAGCCTTGTCAAATATCCATATCACATCCCACAAATCGCTGTCTAAAAGCACCGTCAGTGTGACATCACACAAAACCCATGCGAGATCAGTATCTCAGTACTGTGTTGCGGGCACGTCTCCTTTAGATGTGTTTTTATTACTGATGTAACGGCCATTATCACAACGCTCGTACACTTGAACAGTGAGACATCAAATACTCCCTACCCCGACGTGAATAAGGACGCCTGCTGTTATGTATATCGTCTGTTAACGTGTATTAAAAGATTAATGATGGCTCTCGCTAGTCTCTGCCTGGTCTTATTTTGAAAATATTTTAAAACACTTAGCAAAACCTGACTGTTTTAACTAACCATCGCTTAACTGTTGACATATTTTGAAATCACAACAAATACCCACACACGATTTAATACTACATATGTATTTTGCTTCAAATTAAGGCCGAAAGGTGATTTTGATTCAACGACAGTAAGAAAGTTCATCCAGATAACGATGACGTAAGCAAATCATTTGTTAATGGGCATTATGATATACTGTAATTTATTACATGAAAGATATTTTAACTAACCAACGACTGCATAAACCATATATATCACCATGGTAAACCGTATATATACTTAGATACGACTTTATAAGTCGGTATATATATATATCACCATGGTAAACCGTATATATACTTAGATACGACTTTATAAGTCGGTATGTATATATCACCATGGTAAACCGTATCGGTATGTATATATCACCATGGTAAACCGTATATATATTTAGATAAGACTTTATAAGTCGGTATGTATATATCACCATGGTAAACCGTATATATATTTAGATAAGACTTTATAAGTCGGTATGTATATATCACCATGGTAAACCGTATATATATTTAGATAAGACTTTATAAGTCGGTATGTATATATCACCATGGTAAACCGTATATATATTTAGATAAGACTTTATAAGTCGGTATGTATATATCACCATGGTAAACCGTATATATATTTAGATAAGACTTTATAAGTCGGTATGTATATATCACCATGGTAAACCGTATATATACTTAGATACGACTTTATAAGTCGGTATGTATATATCACCATGGTAAACCGTATATATATTTAGATAAGACTTTATAAGTCGGTATGTATATATCACCATGGTAAACCGTATATATATTTAGATAAGACTTTATAAGTCGGTATGTATATATCACCATGGTAAACCGTATATATACTTAGATACGACTTTATAAGTCGGTATATATATATATCACCATGGTAAACCGTATATATACTTAGATACGACTTTATAAGTCGGTATATATATATATCACCATGGTAAACCGTATATATACTTAGATACGACTTTATAAGTCGGTATGTATATATCACCATGGTAAACCGTATAGGTATGTATATATCACCATGGTAAACCGTATATATACTTAGATACGACTTTAAAAGTCGGTATGTATATATCACCATGGTAAACCGTATATATATTTAGATAAGACTTTATAAGTCGGTATGTATATATCACCATGGTAAACCGTATATATACTTAGATACGACTTTATAAGTCGGTATGTATATATCACCATGGTAAACCGTATATATATTTAGATACGACTTTATAAGTCGGTATGTATATATCACCATGGTAAACCGTATATATATTTAGATACGACTTTATAAGTCGGTATGTATATATCACTATAGTAAGAAAATCGTTATTATGGTATGTTTCTTGAGTTAGTGACTTTTTTATGACGTGTTTGCATTTTCCGCCTCCACTGGCCTGTTATCGATAATTATTGTATCTTGAACCCTTCCTCCCAAGAATCCCTTTATTTTTGTGTTTTAAGAGGCTATCTTACGTTCCTTACTTTGTCGCTCTTCCATCAAACTCCCTCCCACGAATACAAAAATACGTGAAACTACTACTGTTAGTGTGTATGTATCCTTTTAACATCCGTTAATACGGTACATAATACCCAGCCATATCTAAACTGTTAGCGAACAATCATCACATCTGTAAATGCTGGTTTCTGAATGCCATCCTGATTGAAACTATGAACGCCATGAGAAAACGAAAAAAATCATGCAAAATATAGTTGAAATTTACCCATGACTTTACGAGTTATCCACATGAGAAGTCGTCAACTGACAGACAAACTCGTAACAAAGGGTTTTCACGATATGAAGCTGGACGTGTTTGATGCTCGTTACCTCGTCTTTTGGTTCCGTTGTACGATATGAAGCTGGACGTGTTTGATGCTCGTTACATTGCCTGTTGGTTCCGTTTTACGATAAGAAGCTGGACGTGTTTGATGCTCATTTGCCTGTTGGGCTGTTATGTATACTCCTCTAGCACAATGGTTTTATCATCCTCGTACTTTTTCACGAGTTTTCGTGTAAATCGTTGTTTTGTTCATGCTTTGCCTTAGTTTTACTGGTTTTGGATTATAATTATGTTGACATGTTGATATTTTCTTGTGTTTTTTAATATCAAATACTAGATAACACTGTGACAATCTGCATGATTTTTTAAATTTCATATACAGAAAAAAAATATATAATTGTGATTGTATTTCAGGGCCATAGTCGGTGCTCCAAGCTCGAACAGTACCATGTATGATGAGATCCCAGAACCCGGTGGTTTCTTCAGATGCCCAATTGATTTCAAAGCTGGACAACGAGCTTCGTGTACAAGGGCGATGCCAGCCGTCGGTGGGAATCTATGTGTTCACGTCATGTACATAAAAATCCTTTTGTGAATGCAGGAAATCTTCAATTTATTTAGAGGAGATCAAAGTTATTTGATTCCTAGCCCATATCACACATAGGAAATTCCCTGTCTAAACTGTCATGAGATCATTGTTATATGATTCCATTGTATATGTCATTAATATCAGAATCTCCTATGTCTAGTTATAGCTGAAGTTGTAGATGACGTCAAGTTCTGCAAATCCTGTCAAGTTTCCGGAAATTCTTTAGTGCTGTTTTAACTTTATTTAAATCGCTGAAACACACTTCCAATTAGCATGACTTAAGTATATACATGTATATATTCTCACATTCAAGATGTCACTAGGGCAGACCAGTTAGTCATGTGTTACCAGTCTTATTACAAGTCTTTATGGATATGTATTGATAGTCAATCTGTGAAAATACAAAGCACGTGCTCTATGCGATAATTAAATACAAAAAGGAAAATGATGTCAAAAAGAAGGACTATCACTTAGATATATACAAATTTTGTATTTTTTTGTTATGTTTCTTTTTAAACTTGATTTCACGAATAAATATTGTGCTAGTGTCAAGAAAACTCATTCACGAAATCATAGTAAATCCTCCTACCAGAAAAAAAGATTTCACGGTCTGTTCGCGACGCCTATGGAATAATATTAGATACTTTTGCGTTACAGAACCACCATTTTTGGGAACCGCGGCCACATATAAACAGCAAAACCAACTCCTTGGCTCCAACATTCTTATCAGGAACAACACTTTCATGGTGAGTATCAAGTTTTGTTTACATCCTTTAGAACCGAAAATCAATTAACTGCATAATACTACTAAAACTCTCTTAAACTCTAAAACTAGTCAGTGATGCTAAGTGTCCAAATTTTGAAATCTAGGATACGGCCGAATAATTTCGAAATCACAAAATCGCTTTTAAAGTTTGATCAAAACTTTGGAAAAAAACCTATACAAGTTCTGGATAAATCTTTCACAGAAACAGCTTGAGACAAACAAAAAATAATTGTCTTTATGCTATTTGTCATTCTATAGATATTGAAGTGATTCTTTGTTGAAAAATGATGAAAATTGATTGGAACATTAGGTTAGTGCATCTGAAGATTTCCCATTCAATTTCGACTTGGGTCTGTCGCCTCTTAGGTATCAATACGATAGGCCCCTTGCATCACCGAGAATCCTAGAAAGATGAAATAGCCACAGATAGGATGCAGTTTATTCTCTAGCTATACTCGATCTAATTCTACATTTTAAAGCTTGGTTCGATCCTAAGTTTTCATCATTTTAGACCCGTATAATTAACGAGGAACCCTGGATAGAAAGCAATTTTGCCTTTTGTGCAATTTTGTGATTGAAAGATGTTAATCACGGGAATGTGTGTTTTGTGCACTTTTTCTTAACATTTGCAAATAACGTTGTGCAAAACTTCTTTTTTGTAGGGATGTGCATCCAAGCACAAGAAGACGGATAGAGAAGCGTTGAATGGGTTCCTCTACGTATTGGGACGTTGTAATGTTGGGAATTTGTCTGACCCGGATGGACCAATGCGACGTACAAATTTCAAAATGAGGCAGCTTGTGACATCTGGATCAACCTTCAGGACGGGCATGTGTCTTATGGGATTTTCCTCCGCACAGCTAAAGGTATGGACCATATTAGATGGTACAATATATAAACCCACACTGGTTAATATTATCTCAATAATGATACGAAGACACCGCCTCTTTTTGTACTTGTGGGTACATTGAAAATACAATCGAACCTCGTTATCTCGAACACTTATAACTCGAAGACCCCCTTTAATTCGAAGTATATCGTCTGTCCCGGCCAAACTTTACACCAAACATTCGACCTCACTTAAATTGAATACTTTGAAAACTTGAAGTTTTCTAACCGCCCAGCAGACTTCGAAATAACGAAGTTCGACTATAAGTTTCGTTAATTCATTTTCTTTGCAGAAAATATTTTATTCAAAGAGAGTATTATACAGAGCCATTTTACGATGAGGTTATTCAGACACAAAAATATTGTAATATATATTGTAAAAATGACCTTTAAAAATAGTTATTTTGTAATTATCCATATCTTAAATTAGGATAGAATTATTATAATCATACATTCATGTATTGCGTATGATAAATATATTGCAATTACACAATTTATTTCTTCTCCAATTATGTTTATAAATTACTTCAGCTTTTTTAGATATTCACGTTATGAAACAGTATTTTTCGTGTGATCGCTGTACTGAACAACTTTGATGATTTGGAGAAATGGATAAGAATAATGTACCAATTTGTTTCTAAATCTCTATTTTGTAATGTACATATATTGAAACAAAGTAAAAATATAGGTATTCGAACAGGAGATAACGTTTATGATACAAACATTTAAAGTATATGTAGATGGTGGATGGTTTAACGATCATCTGTGTTTGCTTTTGAAATAGTTTGTTGATAGTGTTACGAGCGACTATTTGGCAAATCGGCTGTAAAACTATTCAAAGTTTTTTTTATAAAACTTGTCAACTCTTGAATTATATAAACAATAATTCAAAGCTACTATTTAGATTCTTAACTTTAAGCTAATCATGATATCATCATAACCAAATTCAAATTAACAAGCCTGTTGGCAGTACAAACGGATATGACAGCCAAAGGTTACGGTTCAAATTAAAATGTTAAACAAATCAAGAAATACACCAATGAAAATACAGCAAATGTTTGTTTAATGTAAGATGGTATCAATAGAATGTAAGAAAAAAACATTCGCGGGATCTTATTATCATACCGCCCAACCAAGAACAAAATCAGGATATTCAAGCTCTTATACTGAAAATATCATTTTATGGTCATTTTAATAAAGGGGAAAAACTGTTTATTAAATGCATTGACAATGTCATAACCTGTAGTTTTGATATATATATTTGCTGCATTTAAGAACTGGATAAACAAGCAGTTACTTTCATGTGGCCTTGTGAAGCACATATTCAAATTACATCCTGTATTGATACAAAGTAAAGTGTAAAATCAAAGTTATGAAGATGAAGGTTTTGACCAGGTTGGGACTAATTCCCCTAAAGTATGGAGACCTGTAAGGCCCCAAAAATAGTTCAGGCATGCAAATGCCAGGACAAAAGATAAAATAATCAAGTCAATAGTAAATCAAATGGAACCGAAAACGCTGACCCTTGTGACTTACGCTGAACCCCCGTGACTTACGCTGACCCCTGTGACTTACGCTGAAACCCCTTGACTTAGACTGAATCCCCGTGACTTACATTAAGTCCCTGTGACTTACGCTGAACCCCCGTGACTTACATTAAGTCCCTGTGACTTACGCTGAACCCCCGTGACTTACGCTGAACCCCCGTGACTTACGCTGAAACCCCTTGACTTACATTGAGTCCCTGTGACTTACGCTGAACCCCCGTGACTTAGACTGAATCCCCGTGACTTACATTAAGTCCCTGTGACTTACGCTGAACCCCCGTGACTTACATTAAGTCCCTGTGACTTACGCTGAACCCCCGTGACTTACATTAAGTCCCTGTGACTTACGCTGAACCCCGTCACTTAGGCTGAACCCCCGTGACTTACGTTGAACCCCGTGACTTACGCTGAACCCCCGTGACTTACATTAAGTCCCTATGACTTACGCTGAACCCCCGTGACTTACATTAAGTCCCTGTGACTTACGCTGAACCCCCGTGACTTACGCTGACCCCTGTGACCTACGCTGAAACCCCTTGACTTACATTGAGTCCCTGTGACTTACGCTGAACCCCCGTGACTTACGCTGAACCCCCGTGACTTACATTAAGTCCCTGTGACTTACGCTGAACCCCCGTGACTTAGACTGAACCCCCGTGACTTACATTAAGTCCCTGTGACTTACGCTGAACCCCCGTGACTTACATTAAGTCCCTGTGACTTACGCTGAACCCCCGTGACTTACGCTGAACCCGGTGACTTAGGCTGAACCCCCGTGACTTACACTGAACCCCCGTGACTTACGCTGAACCCCCGTGACTTACGCTGAACCCCCGTGACTTACATTAAGTCCCTGTGACTTACGCTGAACCCCCGTGACTTACGCTGAGCCCCCGTGACTTACGCTGAACTCGGTGACTTAGGCTGAACCCCAGTGACTTACACTGAACCCCCGTGACTTACGCTGAACCCCCGTGACTTACATTAAGTCCCTGTGATTTATGCTGAACCCCCGTGACTTACATTAAGTCCCTGTGACTTACGCTGAACCCCCGTGACTTACGCTGAACTCGGTGACTTACATTAAGTCCCTGTGACTTACGCTGAACCCCGTGACTTTTGCTGAACCCCCGTGACTTACATTAAATCCCTGTGACTTACGCTGAACCCCCGTGACTTACATTAAGTCCCTGTGACTTACGCTGAACCCCCGTGACTTACGCTGACCCCTGTGACTTACGCTGAAACCCCTTGACTTACATTGAGTCCCTGTGACTTACGCTGAACCCCCGTGACTTAGACTGAATCCCCGTGACTTACATTAAGTCCCTGTGACTTACGCTGAACCCCCGTGACTTACATTAAGTCCCTGTGACTTACGCTGAACCCCCGACTTACGCTGAAACCCCTTGACTTACATTGAGTCCCTGTGACTTACGCTGAACCCCCGTGACTTACGCTGAACCCCCTTGACCTACATTAAGTCCCTGTGACTTACGCTGAACCCCCGTGACTTACATTAAGTCCCTGTGACTTACGCTGAACCCCCGTGACTTACATTAAGTCCCTGTGACTTACGCTGAACCCCCGTGACTTACATTAAGTCCCTGTGACTTACGCTGAACCCCGTGACTTACGCTGAACCCCCATGACTTACATTAAGTCCCTGTGACTTACGCTGAACCCCCGAGACTTACATTAAGTCCCTGTGACTTACGCTGAACCCCCGTGACTTACATTAAGTCCCTATGACTTACGCTGAACCCCCGTGACTTACATTGAGTCCCTGTGACTTACGCTGAACCCCCGTGACTTACGCTGAACCCCCTTGACCTACATTAAGTCCCTGTGACTTACGCTGAACCCCGTGACTTACATTGAGTCCCTGTGACTTAGGCTGAACCCCCTTGACTTACATTAAGTCCCTGTGACTTACGTTGAATCCCCGTGACTTACATTAAGTCCCTGTGACTTACGTTGAATCCCCGTGACTTACATTAAGTCCCTGTGACTTACGTTGAATCCCCGTGACTTACGCTGAACACACGTGACTTACATTAAGTCCCTTTAACTTACGCTGAATCCCCGTGACTTACATTAAGTCCCTGTGACTTACGTTGAATCCCCGTGACTTACGCTGAACGCACGTGACTTACATTAAGTCCCTGTGACTTACGTTGAATCCCCGTGACTTACGCTGAACCCACGTGACTTACATTAAGTCCCTTTAACTTACGCTGAATCCCCGTGACTTACATTAAGTCCCTGTGACTTACGTTGAATCCCTGTGACTTACGTTGAATCCCCTTGACTTACATTAAGTCCCTGTGACTTACGTTGAATCCCCTTGACTTACATTAAGTCCCTTTAACTTACGCTGAACCCCCGTGACTTACGCTGAACCCCCGTGACTTAGGCTGAACCCCCGTGACTTACGCTGAATCCCCGTGACTTACATTAAGTCCCTGTGACTTACGTTGAATCCCCGTGACTTACGCTGAACCCACGTGACTTACATTAAGTCCCTGTGACTTACGCTGAACCCCCGTGACTTACATTAAGTCCCTGTGACTTACGCTGAACCCCCGTGACTTACAGTAAGTCCCTGTGACTTACGTTGAATCCCCGTGACTTACGCTGAAACCCCGTGACTTACCTTCGATGGGTTCATATCCGAGAAGGATCTTTTTCTATGCTACATTCATCAACAATTTTCATTATTTGTGTGATTCAAATGAAGATGACTTTTCATGATGCCTGATGTACGTTAGTTTGTCTGTTGGTTTTGTTGTTGGTTTAATTGACCTTATTTTAAAACGTGACCATACTCACTCATATGTACTAAGATTTACATGGCGGATGTCGTCAATGAAAGAGAAGGCGCTTACTCTTCCAGAACACTTGGTCTTCTTGTAGTTTTTTAGTGGTCTCCATGTAATGAAGATTCTATAGACATGTCGGTATTTTCTTCGTTATTTCAATATCACTATCCTACTTGAAAAAGAGACACTTTTAGTGACTTTTCCCAAGCAACCAGTTGTGCAATTTTGTTAATTTCCTCGGATATTCCATGCCTGATAGCTCTTAGTTTTTTATTCTTTAGCCAAGTCCCATTCCTACTGCAATACGAACATAAAATAAATGTGTTCGTTTGGGCTTATGGATTACTGTTGCCAGAAACTTCCAACTAAGAATTAGAAGAAACATTTCATTGTCATTATACTTTGATTAGCTAATCAATAATCCATATGAAGGAACCACAGTGTAGCATTTTTAATCTGATTTAAATTTATTTTTCGTTCAATACATCCAGTATGCCTTTAGTTTTTTTTGTTTTTATAAAATATCGTTTATTTCTTGATTTATCACAAGGATATCAATTTGCGTATATTTCTGTCTGCTTAGTCGCTCTTTATATGACTAACGAGTCCTAGAAGGACAGCTGTCTGATGCAATTTAGTCATTTTTTTACTCTTCTTTATCTAATTCTAACTTTCTATAGAAAGACACTTATTCACTTGTCTGTCTGTTGTACAATCTTAATGGGAAACGGATGTATTTTACCAGGAAATGGTCAATCGCTTTCTTTGATTTTTTTTCAAAGTATCACTGCTAGATTCTTTCAGTGATAGACATAATTCCTCGAAAATAACCACCTTTACAATCAGGCATCTTTGTGATGCTGTCGTAACTTTTCATGTTTTATCACATAACTATTCAGTGTAATAAAACCAATTACCTATTTTTTGTTTGTTTTTGTTTTATACACATGTGCAATATAACCAAGCTGTGATCGGCTGAAATTTCCAACTGTGACGTCATAAGTTCATAGCGTCAAATGCAATTTGACGACAGTAAAGAAATATATAGAGAGAGAATAAGAGATAAGAAATACGTTTAGTGTCACAAAACACTTTTTTTCAAGAAATTTTGCAAAAGTATGAGAGTTATGTGATAAACAGAATCTCACAGTCGTTTCCATCTCATTTGAAACTGAAGAAACTCGCCACCACAATTTTTTTTTACTTTGCCAGTGCTTCGATAAAATGAAAATTTCGAGGAGTCTCATTTTATAAATCTCGAATAACTAGGAACTGATGTTGGATTTTCTATTTCTGATATGTACTAATGGCAAGGCCTTAATGTACTAACAGCACTACGGCTCGGGATGGCTTATCACGTCATATCTCTGAATACTAACTTGACCTGTTTATTTGTTTCAAGGTCGACGTCGATAATGGAGATACAAAGGTTTGATTGAATGTACTTCCCATAGTAGCTAGAGTATCATACAATGATATATATATATGAATATCATTGTAGAGTATCACGCAGTTTTATTATGACACGATAAAAAAAACCCTACCCTCCATACTAGTGGTACATTTCCATCACCTCCTCACGGGAAGAACCACGAGTCTCAGGTCACTTATACCACTTCTACAAGCATGACACGCCAAATGACTATAGATTGAAAAGCATATTTTCTTCCGTGTTTAGGTTGTTTGATAGGATATTCGTTTATGATCCAAAAGCACCATGCGCAAGGAAGTGTTATTTGGACCAGGCAATTTATATCATACAACTGCATTTTATCATGTACTACAAAATCTTCTTCTTTTTTTTGTTGTATTTCAACTTTAGTGGAATTCGTGGCTCTCTGAAAAAAAAATTGTCAAACCCTTCCGCCCTCTACCCCCATTCCCCCCAACCCTCACCCAACCCCTTTTCCTACGCTCAGTTTTTTTTACAGTTAATATCGGTTCAGTTTTTATTGTTTATTTAAGTCTCGTTGATAAATGCACTTCTGTAGGATTTCCATTTTAACATAAGGGGGAGTATCAGTTGCGCCTTTGTGTGTTTATATTATACCCCGAACCTATCGTCTGAAGCATTGCTTGAGCTGCATCAGTGATACCGGTCGTGGATGATACCCTAGCTAGAACTGGTGTGTTTCACTTGTATAATGCTTTTACATGAACAATGCTTTGGATTTTAAGCCCCGCTTTGCGACGAGAGTTGCCATAACATGCATGTCACATATAATTTGCTGCTATATAGATATATAGTTGAAATACAGCTCCAAATATATGGCACAACATTTGCTTTAGTCTATTGTAATATTCCTAATTCATTAAATGATTCTTCGGGCTACAAGTATAAATGATGTGTCGTAGAAGTGTAGCAGAAGAAGAATCAGTTGTGTCATGCAGTTTAATCTCTTATCATCTGCCCAGATAATCGTGTATTTTGTAAAAGTCTTTACTTCATTCGTCAAGAGCCTGTATGGATGATATTTCAGTTTTATTGTCTTCTTATAGACACTGTGCTGTTAGCGTATTATGTTATTTTATAATAACCCTATATTCAAAGTTGTTCCCAGAAGTAAAAGATGTTTTTAAGCATGGAATTTTACAATATCGAGGAAATGTTACAGGTTTGAAGATATTGCTATAAAGCACTGTTCATCAGCAGAAATAACCATCACTGTAATCCATGTGCTTTCATGGCTTCTTATTTAATCATCATAGCAAGTTCACGGCTATTAACTTTGCGACAATTTTACACCGAATTACAAATGGTGTTTTATATCTGTCCTATTTCATGGTGATGAATTCACGATTGCTTGCGGGGTTTATCTCCCCTTGAACAGCCGTGATCATTTTGAGGCGGGGTTTCCTGGTAGAAGCGGTAGCCTACCTTACTGAACAACATACGTCCCATCTCGCATGCCTTTCAAAGTAATAAGAAGTGTCTTCCCTAGGACACAGCCATGTCACCACAGACTGGTCCGTTTCTCAGTTTCCCGAGAAATGCAAATCGCTATAGGTAGTGAGCATCGAATCACAAATGACAAAAATCACTATGGAAAAAAAATCATTTAATTTCCAATTTCAAAGTAAATATTTTTCCCCCATGATATTTTTCATAAATTGCGCCCTTTTTTCATTATCTGCATGATTTTTTTCAAAAAATTCTCATTACCGCCAGCTTGATTGATAGTTGATGCTTTCCCTTACCATGATATTGTATCAAAGTAATAAAAATATCTATTTTGAAGTTACGCGCGTAATGACATCGGAACCTTTCTTACCTGTTCACTGGTATAGTGCTATCCGGAACTCCTCTCACAAAAAGTCGGAGTGACCGCCCTTGAAACGGCATGTTACTTCCATCAAAGATAATTACATGGACGATAAAATCTCCGGTCATTGAGATGTTAATCTCATGTACGTATTGTGAATTTCTCGTTACCTGTAATGTTATGCACCAAATGAAAGGTAAATATAGAAATGTTTTACAAAACTTATCATAACTCTTTTTTTGCCAGTTATAGGTAGTGGTCATTTTTTAAAATCTGGAGTTGCTTTCCTTTTGTATTTTTAATGACCGTGGACCACCGACTTAGCTATAGCGAAAATGAATCGCAAGCAAAAAGTTACAGTATACAGAATTCTCTAAGTTGTAGGTAAAGCGTCAGAGATGAGCAAAATTCCTCAAGCAGCTTCGTGCAATTGCAATGATTACAATTGACTAAATGCTTATTAATATGTGATGAGATCACGAGTAAATGAAATTAGGCTATAGTCTAGCTATGCTACTAAAAATACTTTGGGAATATGTTTAACAGTGTAAAGGCAGGAAAGTTTCAGCATGGTCAGTAGTCATTATCATGTAAATTATGCAAGGCAGTTTCTTCCATCAATTCCGAATCATGCATGACAGTATTCATACCGGCTGTAATATATTATTTTCAAATTGTGTGGACTGTTTTGGCAAGACATTTCCCCCATGTGATGTATTTAATTATGATAGTCATCAAGTTTGACATTAAAGTGCAAGAGAAAAATACAGGCATTCAAATGAATTTATGTTAAAAAATATCGCGATAATTATTTAACGCGGACTTAATCGTGTGTAAGTAGTGAACCTTATCAGACACTGGTGGAGTCGATGGTAGAAATATGTTGGCTAAATCTGATGTATCCTTCGTAGTTTGTTGTGCTTAGCATTCATTGCATACCCAGCTTCATATTTAACTCACTGTAAGCGTTGAACATTATCTTTAAGCTTAATTTCATGTTTCTGTATGTTTTGATTTGCTTGTATGCTTCAAACTTTGGACCATTGAAGAGGAAAAGTTTTAATGTAAACGATAATTAAATGAAATATAGATTCATCGATATTTTTCCACAATATATTTCTGTTAATTGAAATACAAATTTATGAGGGTTTATGTGAGGATATTCATTACATTCAAAATGAATAATAATAACATATTATTTCGGCGCAGATCTGTTTACCCTGTATTTCATTCTGTATAACCATTCCAAATATGGTGTATTACATTTTCGCGCTTTGCTTTGTAGAATGGGATACCAACCTTCAACACAGTTCTTGGCGCTCCAGGTTTCTACGATGGGAAGGGTACGTATTAGTTTTAGTGACACTTGCTCTTCCCGTAAAGGTTAAATTCTAGTATAGCCCGATAAACTCTTCGAGTTTTTACGATTTATTAGACAGATCTGGAAATATACCAAAACGCATCCCTGCAAAAATGCGTAAAATTGACCGTTTTCATATCGTTTGGTGCCAACATTGCTTGAGAAAACAACATAAATTTATCTATATCTTCATTATACCTTACTTACAGGTATCTAGCAACGATCTATCATAAATAGTATATAAAACATCAAGAAGATACCAATTCACTAGCATAATCATAACCCAAACTCAAATTCAATAAAACTATGGAGAAATATGAACAAAAGAAAGATTTACATGGAGACTCTTGAAAAGGTACAAGGAGACTTAGACCAGGTGTTCTTGAAAAGAAAGTGTCTTCAGCTTCAGTGACGACGCCTGCCATTTAAATCTTAGTTAGTCCAAGTAAGTTATGTTCTCAAATGAGTTCAAGATATACAAAATCCCCCCAGAATTAAAAGAAAATCATGCACAAGCCAGCTGAACTTGTATTGTTTTGACTAGGTAATTCATATGGGTTGGCGTGCATTAAAACGAAGGAGAACTCTTGCATGATCTACAAAACCGTTACAACACAGTGAAATACCACTGTATTATACAGTCTATCGTTAAATCTTTAGGCTAAATTACGTCATCAACATTTCGGGGGCATATACTAAAGGAGTAAAGGCAAAGCTGTATTGATAAATTACTGGACAATGGTGTCAGGGATACTCCAAGGTTCATGCTCACTTCATCACTATCTGTACCCCTGGAACATGTCATGGTAAATTGAAGGCGCAAACGAAGTAATTTGATTTGTTTAGAGTGGGTTACAAGAGGAAAAAGACTGTTAATCACAGGTTGATAGACTTGAGGATTACAAAAAATCAAACTAGTCTTGTCCACAAGTCGTCGCACATGGAACGTTCAATTTTGACTTGACGTGTTCCAGGGGTGCAGAGAGCAAAAGTGATCGTAACACCTGGAGTATCGAGGATGGTTCCAGGGTTACAGAGAGCGAAAGTGATCGTAACACCTGGAGTATCGAGGATGGTTCCAGGGTTACAGAGAGCGAAAGTGATCGTAACACCTGGAGTATCGAGGATGTGAATACATGTAAAATCAAATCAATTGAACATTTTTATTTGCTTACAGCAAAAGAATTCAATTAATTACTATATCCTTCGAACAAACTCAAACAAAAGAAAAGAACAAAAAAAGAAAAAGTGGCGAGTCTCAAAAGATGAGAATATGTCTTTAATAAATGGGTGGCTGGGAAAGTAACATTTGAAAGTTTGGTCATTATCACGACATGGAAACTAGTTCTACTGGAAAATCCTCCATTTCACTACCACATACCGACTACAAATCATTCTTTAAAAAAACCCACTAATTTACAACTTGAGATTGCCATCCCATAAGATAATATGTTTTGTTTATCCGTTAAAATGAGTTATTCTTTACGGTTATTCCCTAGAATATACTCCAGAATAAGTGTTTGTATAAAGTTATTTTTTACACTGTATCTAATGAATTAACTTTTCAGGTGGCTATATAATGATAGATATTGATAATTTGCGGGACAGATGGGATTATCTTGTTTCGGACGACGATGACCTGGGAAATTCATTTACCAAAGGAGCCTACCTTGGTAAGATTGTATCTGACATGAGTTAAAAGCTTAATTGTTTTGTTTCCCTCCTGTTCAAAATGGTTGGCGTGTGTGAGATTATTTTGGCAATATCTTATTTTACATTTGGCAGTTATTTTAGCATTGAAATGCTTCCAATTGGCATTCATAGGCCCGTGAATGCCAATTGAAAGCAGTTCAATGCTTATATTTATCACTTGTGATTTATGATTCAATTACACGTAATTTCTATTGAAAAAATCAAAATCTCCCGCCATAATTGCCTAGAGACCTGTCAGCAGACTTACCGTGTGACTCTGTGTAAAAGAATAGTGCGCTGGATAAAAGAATACACATAAAATATTCAATGTACTAACAAAATTTAATACACGTGGACAAACGGACAATACATATTTCAATGTTTAAATCAACTGTCATCTACAAGAGGTAATACTGCAATCTTTCAATTTTGTCAAAATCGCGGATGAGTGCACTCCGCTATTGTGTAATGTTACAACGGAAGTAGCCCAGTGTTAAGCCTTCCACATGCTTACGAGCTGTGGAAGTTTAAAACAGTGTTCAAACGAAGAAATGGTGAAGAAACCTGGTGTCGACATTACGTTATTTGTGTTGACATTCACTTGGCTGTTTGAGGTGAGTGCTAGGTGTGATTTTTCGGCTGTATCGTCTCGGAGGAGGACGGTGACTCGGCAGCTTGACAGGAAGACAGGGCCACCATTTCTATCGGACGCGAGAAAGTGATTTATTAAATGAAAAAAAAATCTGCTGTTGCATAAACATTAAAGCCCCAATATACGTAAAAATCACTATAAAAACAAACTTTATCTTATTTTCCCCGTAATATATGCAACAAAACAAATACTTTCCTTTAATTAAACAAAATAAAACTGACTGTTTTCAATTCAAATAAAAATTGAAAAAATCGGAAAATAAACAATGTGGGACCCACAATAATTCATACATTACCGCTCGTAGCGATGACATTGCGCACGCGCAAATTCCACGTGTGTAAACATGGCAGACACAGTACAGACGTTCACCAGTCGCTTCCCTTTTTTCCCAATCATACATCAGGTCAGTTCTGAAGTCTTACGTTATAATTGTGCGTCGTATCGTTTCTAGTAATTTCCCAAAAACTGAATGTTTATCACAGGAATACCTCAAGTCTACGTCAACACTTCGCAAACAATGTTTGTAAACAAAAACTTACTGTAGACATATCTGCATGTGCTTCCTCTATAAGTAGAAACCTCAACTCTCGCGAGATCAGGTCATGAACTTTCCGATGTGGTTCGGCAACAATCGTAATTTCGATGGCGGCGTGTTTAAAATGGAAGTGTGTTTACAAATAGCGAGTTTCAACTGCTCATTTATCAATACTTTATGCACAAAATCATGGTAACTGTTGTTTGAATAACTTAATTTTAACTACATCTTAGAGAATATCACAATAATTATGTGTGATTCTACACTAAAGTTTTGGTGAATGTTACGTATATTGGGGCTTTAAAAAAGTAGACAAAGGTAATCTATTACTCTAACTGTACAAGGGGAGGCAACCTCAATTCGTTTCCATTACATTCTTTAAAGCTCGAATAAGTGGACAAAATACGATTGAGATTACACTAATCTTAACATGATGTAATGGTATCGCACAAAGTTAGCACTAGAAGTTCATGATATTTAGATGACAGGTAAACTACTATTGCACTTCAATGTAATATACAGATAATGTGGGGAAATTCTTACTGGCTCATGGCTGCAAGAGCTAATACTTGTATAAGGCAATACCTTACTTGACAGTGCTAACTCTTTCGTATCATTGAATAAATTTAACAAAGAAAAGCAAACTGGTATAACTTTGATTTCAATAGAAAAGCACTTTCAGAAAAGAAAAGTAATTGAGGACATATTCTTATATTTCTTTACATTTTCAAAAGAAACTTTTAATTATCGGTTATAATAAGACATCCTGAATAAGCATACAGGAATAAAAACAACCAGGTTCTTTCCTTCATGCCATTACTTATTCTACAAACTCAAACATATTGCAATGTAGAGGTCTGCATTGGTAGCTATAACATTAACCTATAATATATCTTAACTTTAAACATAGGTTCTAATTTACTATTGCAAATGATTTTCAGATTTGAACAGATTGATCATAATACAAAACTATATTGTTCATTAATGTTTCAATTGAGATGTATTTAAATATGGATATATTTTCTTATTTTAAGTAAGAGGAGGCGACTGAGGAAAATCCAAAATGATCAAAAGAAATTTTATAATATAAATGGGGCTGTCCGCTAGCCCAATAATAAAAGAAATATTCATCTATCTGATGATTTTAAAGGAGCGTCAAGTACATGTGTATATTCTGAACCAGGCCGCTATTCGTATAAATATAAAATTCCATGGAGGTAACGGCAAAAGGAATTTTGTTATATATTCATTTATATTTACATATAATATGTTATTGATATATATATTTATATGATATGTAATTGTTCTAAAAAATATCTACTACTCATTAACAACTGAGCACATTTTGGCCAATTTGTTCAGAAGCATCCTTGGGGAAGAGGAACAAATTTTGTATAAAAGGTGCGTCTCTAGGAAGGGAGAAGTGGAATTACATGGGAAAAATAAAGCACATTCTTAAAATCCTACAACTCCTGCAGGAATAATTTGATTTTGGCCAAATTTGGTCTGAGGCATTGTTGAGGGAAGGGGAACAAATTGTGTGTAAACTGTTGGTCTTGGCCCCTTGAAGCTGAAGGGGCGGGAGGAGCGGGCCCCGATAGGGGAAGTAAAGCAAATTCTTCAAAATCCTACTTCTCCTGTAGGAATGATTGAAATTTGGTCAACTTAGGTCTGAAGCATTGTTGGGGAAGAGGAATCAATTATGTATAAACAAATTTGAAACTATCTGATCAATTCTTCATGAAACTGTACACAAAATGGCCATTTCTTCGCATGGCTGAAACACAACGTCTGCACTTCCTTAGATAGGACGATCGGATGATAATATATCAAGGGAAGAATTTTTGGAGGCATTCGGCTCGTGGGATCTCAGAAAGCATTATAAAAACTATTTCTTTGTTACCTTTTTTATTTTTTTTTATTATATAGCTTTATAGCTTGTATTGTCAGCTTTGAATAACACTAAAATACTTGGACTTTGTCTTGATTTGTATAATCAAAACTATTGATTTGCTTTTGCAGGGTACTCAGTAGGGTCTGGAAAGTTCGGAAATGCTGAAAAGGGAACCGTGGTTGCTGGTGCCCCTCACTATAGCAACTCAGAAGGACACGTTGGAATCGTAAGGATACAGATTGAATATTTGATGTATTGTCATATCACTAATTCTAATGAAAAATGTTCTTAATATACTAAATGACGACACCAGTCACTCCAATATACCTGACAATGAAGCTATTCACATATGAATCTTAAATGTTCCTGGCCATTGACACACTTTTAAGTAATATGTGCATGCAATTGGTTGCCGACGATAAGTCGCTTGACCTTTTCTGAATAGGTCAAAGTTGAATGTATCGATAAATGAGATCATCATGGAATGCTCCTAGTAAATAGTAAATAAATTACTATTGGGATGTATATTTCAGTCGTGAATAATACATACTCATTTTGTTTGTACGTAAAATGCAGCTTTCTGGTTCGTCGATTTTTTCTTTTCATTTCTCGATGGAAAAATCAAGCTCCTCCAAATTGATTATGATTGGAAGAGTCTATATCGACACGCTACCTAGCGACGTGTTTTATGTAACTGCTTTTTTTGTAGGAATGGGATATCTGTTTTTATTCATTTAGTGTGTTGATCGCTGTCATTCAAGGATGTGAATAAAACAGATTACAACATCTTAAAATATTAAAGTATCTTACAATCTACATAAACAATACAACGAACGAATAACGGATTTATCAGGGGGAAATAAGGTATTTTTTATTTTCACACATTCCCGGCTAATGAAAACGGCTACCGGTCGTAATTTTTCGTCCCTTTTTAGATTACTAGATAAATTTCAATTTATCGCATATTTTATGAGATTCTGCTATGTTTGAGAAAAGTTGCCTACATCACACATCATCTATATACTCTCCACCTTCCATCACCTTGAAACTGGAGCGTGATTCCATTGCGTAAGGTCCAAAATCACTTAACAAGGGCCCAATTCTGGCAATCTTTATGGTGCCGTCATGACTTCATTGCCCAGTTTGGGGACGCTGCGCATTTATTGATCCACTTTCAACTGGACTGTTTGGTCGGCATGTTTCAACTAAATAATATTTATTAATCGACTACACAAAATGTAGCAGTACTATTTGTTGTCATCCCTAGTTTTTGTTACACAGGGTTGCCTCCTTCGGGGACATCATTATGTTCGTGTTGAATCTATTACAAAAAGATACTCATAAAGAGGCAAAGAAACATAGTATCATTCATTTTTTAGGGGTGTGGTGGGAACAGGCGACAGCTGATTAACCGTTGATCGATACCGTTGGACTTTGTTTATCAAGTTGATTTGCTTAAAATGGCAAGCAGGTGTATTGTTGCCCTCGGCCATCAATTAGTCGTTCCACCATTTAAAGCCCCAATATACGTAAAAATCACTATAAAAAACAAACTTTATATTATTTTCCCGTAATATATGTAACAAAACAAATTATTCCTTTAATTAAACAAAATAAAATTGACTGTTTTCAATTTAAATAAAAATTGAAAAAATCGGAAAATAAACAATGTGGGACCCACAATAATTCATACATTACCGCTCGTAGCGATGACATTGCGCACGCGCATATTCCGCGTGTGTAAACATGGCAGACACAGTACAGACGTCCACCAGTCGCTTCCTTTCTTTCCAATCATACATCAGGCCAGTTCTGAAGTCTTACGTTATAATTGTGCGTCGTATCGTTTCTAAACTAATTATTCCTTCTAATAATTTCCCAAAAAACTGAATGTTTATCACAGGAATACCTCAAGTCTACGACAACACTTCGCAAACAATGTTTGTAAACAAAAACTAACCGTAGACATATCTGCATGTGCTTCCTCTATAAGTAGAAACCTCAACTCTCGCGAGATCAGGTCATGAACTTTCCGACGTGTTCGACAACAATCATAATTTCGATGGCGGCGTGTTTATTTGGAGGTGTGTTTACAAATAGCGAGTTTCAACTGCTCGTATATCAATACTTTATGCACAAAATCATGGTAACTATTGTTTGAATAACTTAATTTTAACTACATCTTAGAGAATATCACAATAATTATGTGTGATTCTACACTAAAGTTTTGGTGAATGTTACCTATATTGGGGCTTTAATCATTCCGCTCGTTTATTCTTTGGCTGATGATGGTATTGAACTAAAATTTTGTACATATAACAAATTTTCGATTCATTTTCTCCATCGCATACAATCAGATGAAACAGGTCAACTTTTTACGAAGATTTGGCCTACTTATTCCTCCCATTGTTATTGAAATGGGAAATTCCCGAAAACAATCCGTTTACACTCATTCTGTCGGAACTGTTCTTTCTGAAGATGCAAGAAACATCTTCACATTTACTGTCTCTATTTTCTAGAGTTCTGTCCTACAAACTACACTTTTAGAAAATAATCAGTTTCTGCTCATTTTCGCGAAAATGTAATGGGGTATGGAGCTGAAATTTGATATGAAGTTTCATTGTGGAAGATCAACTTTCATTTAATTTTCAGCAACGGTCAACAATTACCAAACAAAAGTCATAATTATGTCTTCTTAAGTGACGCTGGAAGCACCATGCTTCTCATTGTTTGACAGAAGAGACATTACTGCTAATAAGACTAATTTCTTTATTTTGTACAGGTGGTACTTATCGAAATTAAGGATACATCTAAGATGCAAACAACTATACAAGGTTCACAGGTAGGTAACTATTGTAATATATACACTACATCACGCAATTACCGATATTACGTCATGTAACTCATGACGAGGACCAAGGAAAAAATAGTTCTTTGCTTATGCAGAACAAGGACTGCGAAAAATATAAATAATTTCATAATAAACTGCATATATATCTTTGTATTGTCAAAACAGACATTTTGCATGGGGCTCAACACTTGATTTTCAAATAACAGTTCGTGGAGAAATGAAAACCTTGATTAAGAGTACTCATGAAATAAACGAAAACAAACCACTATGGAAAAAGATGTCTTCACGGTAATCTTTTTATTTTACAGAAGATACTTTCCATTTTATTCATTCTTTTTTAATCATCATTCTCTTAGTCAAGAGAGAAGACAGAGAAATACTCATGCAAAAGCTATATAAATGGCTGCATAGCTTTTCACCCCGATCCGACAATCGAACACATGTCACTTTGGTGTAATTGTAACATTTATTGCAACTGCGAAATAATGTTACTAAAGCACGGGATGTGATTGAACATTTTAGATAAGTAGAATGAATGTGTGTACAGTAAAGAGTCAGTTCTTTGCCGACTGGATTAGGAAATGACAGTCACCAAATCCACAGAATTACTCGTCGGTGTATATTGTCATTAGATAATGCAAAGTTGACCTGCTTATTAATTGTTTAAGATTGGAACCGAGGAGGACGAGTTAGCATACAGTTTGGCTTTGTTAATGATGTATTGGATAACGTGTTTGTTTGTTTTGACCTTGTTTTTTTCCCACAATTACAGTGATAGGTATGTGTATTACATTGACAGTTTACTTATAAATATCATAATTGATAGCCCGGATGTGGATTCGGTGCCTCACTCATTGTACTGGACATAAACGGGGACAACCTAGATGACCTGCTGGTGGGATCACCTTTCTACACTGACCAGGCTACTGACCAGGGCTTAGTGCAGGTGTACTACGGCACTAGCGATAGTGTACGTAATTAGCAATATCTTTATCGCTGCATGGTAATTACGTCATAGAAGAGATATATTTCCGTTTACTTCACGTTATTGTACCAATATCAAACGTTGGTGTTATTTTTGGGAGTCTTATCGTGGATTTCTAATCTTAACATAACCATTTTGTTTTCTTATGTACAAAAACCTGTCAATGGAAACTGTAAGTATAATTAATAGATTGTGTTAATTCTTATCTTAAATTTAGTTGAAATTGATTTCTTTAACATTTGGATGATGCATCATAGAATTCATTCAAATATACTTTTAATTATTTTCAAACGTATGATTAATATCAGCAATAAAATTGTAAATTTCTGACTTATTGTAAACTTATTTAACAAGTAAAAGCAACAATTATTACTTTAAACATCCCCGCAATTAGCGCGTTCATATTTTAGCGTAAAACTCTCAGAGCGAAAAGTGCTAAAATACTATTATCATAAAAATTGTTTATGCTTGCAGTAAATGGTAATAGGTAAATATCATGTGGTGTTTTCAATATCTTTAATCATTAATGCAGAGAAATATTCTACGACAAGGCGACGATCTGATGGGAGCGAGTTCGATTTACGGGCGATTTGGGCTGGCAATGGCGGACATAGGAGATATAAACGCTGACGGATTCAATGGTATTGAATATTTTCTATCTGGATACCCCCAATGAAATTATTTTTTTAAACTTTGTTCGTACAGGTTTTGCCGAGCAAGTGTTCATTTTCTCTTTATATTGTTTGGTGTTATTTGTTGAATATTATGGGTTGGATTCGCTATGAGTTTTGTGTATCAGCGGTATACTTATTGAGAACGTGATATTAATTACTTGGATTGATCAAGATAAGCATGGCTTATGTCGTCGATGATGTACAGGACGTTTACTCTTTCGAAACACCTGGTCTTATTATCCTTGTAATTTTTCAGGAATCTCTGTATAAATCTTTTGTTTTATTAGATTATGATTATGTTGTAGGTATTTTCTGGTTGTTTTTGTGTGATTTATGTTCGAGTTGTGTCATTTAGGGTGTATAATCTGATAGTGAGTGGGAGTTTTTGGATCATAAAGTGTTTTTTGTAAGAATGTGATCTATGTGTTTGGAATACTTTGTTTTGTATGTGTGTTTTGTATCTAGTGTGGATGTGTTTGCTTTTCTTGTTGTCTGTATGGTGTTGGTTTAGATGACAGCACGTTTTGAATTATTGAGTTCATTTATTAATGTTGCAGTATGGTTCGCATTTTAATCAGAAAGAACAATTTTTTCTGACTCCTAATTTCTCGTAAAATAATTAAATAACTTGCTAGCAATGCACTTTGTTCCTTATTTCTGATATATGAAAATGTATTTAATTATGGGGCTGCTGCACCTCCCCGTCTAGATTTTGACTTTTCTTTCGATCATTTTGGATTTTCCTTAGTCCTAATTCATTGTTTGGTTCTACTTTGCCAACTCTAAATCATTAAAAGATGCTATTCATTTTTGTATCTTCCAGACGTAGCAATTGGAGCTCCTTACGAAGATGATCAGAGTGGGGCGATTTATATCTACAATGGCAATCGACAAAATATGAATTCTGATTTCTCTCAACGCATCGCTGCTCAGGCATTAAATCAGGAGCTGAAGGGTTTTGGATTCCACATATCTTCACCACTTGATGCCGATTTCAACACTTATAACGGTAAGATACCTTTCAGTGTCTCCATTGTAATTTGAAATGAGTTCAGTCTACCAATATCAATTCATTCATAAAGGATTGTTGAATTTCACTAAATATTGAGGGAAATATCATCACTTCTCGGTTATGCAGCACTCTCAGTCAAAATCGTTCACTACTTTATGATCACATAGACTTTGTCTGTTGTCCTGTTACAATTTATCAATAGTGTAAAGGGTTGTAAACCATTGCAGACTTTGTCTGTAGTCCTGTTATAATTTATCAATAGTGTAAAGGTATGCAAACTATTGTAGACTTTGTTTGTTGTCCTGTTACAATTTATCAATAGTGTAAAGGGTTGTAAACCATTACAGACTTTGTATGTTGTCCTGTTACATTTTATCATTAGAGTAAAGGTATGCAAACTATTGTAGACTTTGTATGCAAACTATTGTAGACTTTGTCTGTTGTCCTGTTATAATCACCTGCTGGTCAGATTGAATATGCTACATATTTTTACTTTAAACTAGATATATCTGTTGGAGCATACCTGTCAGATCAGGCGATAATACTGAGAACCCGCCCTATTGTCCAGCTGGATCGATATGTGACCTTGAACCCAGAGTTGGTACCCTTGAACCCTGCCGGACAGACTTGTCATAAACAAGGGGATCCATTCCCCTGTCTTACATACAGCATTTGCTTCAATTTCACTGGCAGAGGACTGGACCGTATTAGTAAGCAAGAAATTATACAAGAATATGTAGTGATAAAGAGTCAGAATTGTTGGTATTTTTTAAAGTTTGATTTGATATATAATGTCATATATTGGAAGGACATATTTGATCATTTGTTGAAAAAATGACACTGTATGTCTGAAAAAAAGTTTTCAAATTATTAAGATTGCTGTTGTGCACAAAGGATTGATACAGGCGTCAACATATTCATGTTTCGAGTGACTGACGTCTTTGATTGAAATAATTCGTTCGTTTAATTTTAGAATAGTCAATGGCATTTTAATTACAGTTATATTAAGTGATGACGCGATTGAATATTAAGTATGTAAATTTCATTTTCACCTATGTAATGGTTGTTTATTTTTGAGTTTTTTTTACGAGTGATGAATTTAATTTGAAATAGTTTTAAAAATTAAAAACACATTGAAATAAATATTATATAATAATGATATATTCATGTTACATTTATTTTTACATGAAGATGTTAAAATGTGAGGTGTTTAATCAACCAGAGTACTATGCCGCTGTGTGTAAGGGTGGGGAATCCGTATCAGGTTGTACATGAATCCTAGTACGAGCTGATTCTACTACAATTTCCAATATATACAGATACTGAATACATAATTACCTCATCAAAATATATACAGTATCCCTCTACAACTTATATACACAGTTATATGAACAAATTCTTGGAAAAAATACAAAGGAATTGTAACACTTTCTCAGAATTCCCTGTCCTTTCAAATGTTTTATTACTATTTAATATTATATGAATACCTTAAACATATCTTTACAGATATTGATATTGGGCTGAGTGTTGACTTGCCACGGAAAAGAAAAGGGAAGTCTAGTCGAATGGACCTTTACTTAGAGGACGAAAGACGAGGAGATTCTTTTATCATCAAGTACCAAATCCAGAAAAGTACTAACAGCTGTAAAACGATTTTGGCGCGTGTGAATGTAGGTTTTCATAATATTTTGAGTCTATGAATTGTCGTGAAGACTAAATTATGTCAAAAGTAAGTCTCAAATTCCGTATAGCCGATATTTTTTTCGCTATTTACTGGTGCGTTAACGTCATTGCGAAAATTTATCTGTGAAAAAGAAACCGCGTAAATTTCCTCCACGATATAAATGCTATTAAAAACTTGTTTATCGGTGCTTTTATAAAATATTTATAAGCATAAATTAAAGCTCGACCAGTCATACTGGTGCCTGATTGCAACAACAACCATGTATCTGAAACTTAGTAAACAAAATTCGGGAAAATGATATATAACATGTTATGTTTAGATCGAAAAAATTATTTAATTGAATTTTGATTTTTTTCGCTAAAAATCAAAATCATGGAAATTTTGTTCTGAGAAGTAACTAGCTGTGCAGTAGTGAAATCTAAACTAAAAAATGTGACTGATTATAATGATAAAAATGTTAAAATCAATGTGTATTGAATGGTTGAAAGCAAAATGAAGTGATGTTAAATCAATTATTGATTACCAAAAGAAGTGAAAATTCAAGAAAATACCAACATGGCAACATTAGCCTAATTTAAACTCAAATTCCATGAAATTAAGGCAAAATATGGACAAAAGAAAGATTTACACTCCTAAAATCATACAAAGAGTAACCTTTCCTACTCAATGTTAACCTTGGTCACTCCAAGTAAGTAATGCCCTATTGTTAAATCAGAACAAGGTACACAACAACGGAGCCATCAGGTATCAAACCAATGGTTAAGTTCTTTGCAAATGAGTTTTAGATTTCAAAGTATTAAAATGTTTCGCCATTATTAACGTAAAAAAGCATATTTTTTCATTTTATCTCCTTTAAAATCTAAGTCTGTAATATTTTGTATATATCATCTTGATATTTCAAATACTATTCCGACTTTGCTTGATGAGCTTTGTAAACTTGTGATGAAATTCGGATATCAGAAAGTGGCTAAATCTCTAACACAGAATAACAACGAATAAAGAAGTATCGTCTTATTGTGTGAGATGTAAAGTCATTGTGTGGTTGTTTCAGTCTCTCGGGCGTGAGTTTTTCGCCGCCATAGAACAGCCTGTCGAGTTTTACCTGAACTATAGCCTGAGTAGAGAACCTGTGCTTGGAGAAGTGATGCCAATTCTCGATAACCTGAAAGATCCAACAATCTCACGAAGTGTAGGTTTCGTTTTGTGGCGTAAAGATGTTATAAATACCTACATCTGACCTAAACTGTCATTGACTGATAACACCATCTTAAAAAAAGAACTGGTCTTATACTAAATCCATATATGGATATGCTATTGTTTGAAACAATCCAATGTTTTAAATTCTACGAAAGTGATTGAATTGTTATTGGAACTTTACATCTTTTTATAAAATTTATTTCAATATTTTTTTATTTTCCTCAATTTTCTCAATTTAGGTCTCAAGTGTGTGCTATTCACTTGTGTGTCTATAGTACATCCCTTTCACACTAATATGAGTGACTTAACATAACACCGAAATCTAGTGAGAGTTCAGTGTATATGTCAAGTAAAAGAAATAAATTTGTTTATTCTCATATATTGCTAATTCGCCATACACGTTCAAAGTTTGTTTCTGTGATTCTAGGCCAATTTTAATACGGGATGTGGGAGACAACGATGCATATCTAACCTTCAAATAGAGGTCACTGTTGATAAGGCTGAAGTCATTATGGGTTTAACAGAAGACATATCTCTCACTATAAACATCAACAACCTGGAAGAGCCTGCTTTCGTTACCAGAGTTCTTACCAAATCCAGTGAAAATGCACTTTTCCGCGGTGACGAGATTGAAGCAGGGCAAATTGTGTGTAAACAAAACGCAACAGGTATGATAGATGAGGTGGCCTGTGACTTCACAACTCCATTCTTCCAAACCATGATCGGCACATTTGATCTTAAATATACATTCGAGATGCTTGATGACGATGATTTGAATAACATTGATCCTATGGTCAGCTTCAATATGAATGTCACATCAGAAAGCGAGGAGATGAACCCATCCGACAATGATCAGCTGATAGAAATACCAGTGAAGATCAAACCTGACATCAGCATATACGGGTATGCTGTTTGTGAAATATTTTCAGGTGGTTCAGGTAGTAAACATTGCTGGTGGACTTCTAGCCCCTGGAGTTTACCTTAACCTACAGGCCACGATGAGATTTATCCGAATATTGGCACGCTTTAAAATATTCAGTTGTACTTGACATTTTTTCTAAAATTATTAGAAATATGGAAGTTACGAAATTTGTTTTCTTTCGATCATTTTGCATTTTGCTCAGTTGCCTCCTAGGTCTTAGTATGACACAGTTTAATTTACTGTTTGAACGGTTTGAACGAAAGATTGAATGATAATGTAAGATACATTATTCGGTGTGCCTACCGTGTCTAATATTAGATTTGTATTGAAAGTATTGTTCTCTTGTTTGTCTTTGGTATAATTCTTGTAAGGCCTTTTTGTTTTGATTATACAGAAGTTCGAATCCAGAGCAAGCCACAATTTCTCCTGATTCGAACAAGCTACTCTACATGGAAAAGACATTTAATATCTATAATAGAGGACCTAGCCCTCTACCTGAGACCAGAATCACAATAGAATTTCCCAGAAGGAACCTGCAAGGTGACATACTTGTAGAGGCACAAAACACAAAGGTACGTAAATGAGGGCTTTGAGGGAACATGTATGATATTTGTCTTCAAAACTGTTACTTATCAAACTGGGATCAAGATGTTTAACATTAAATACACCTGTTAAGTTATAAAGAAGAAGATAATCCCATAGTAATTATAGTTGTTAAATGTTTAAAAATGGGGAAAAAATCTAATCGTAAAATATTAAACCAATTTTTTTATTTCCCAGTTTCGGTCAAACCCATTGAACGGTAACTAGTTTCTGTTAATGCAGAAATGAATTAAAGCGTTTCAGCGGGATATGTTTTGTTTAGATTTCACAGTGAAAGAATTCATGTTCAGTAATTCTGTTTTCTTTTTGTTTCAGTCACAGTTTTCAGTGTGGCAAATTTTTACACGTTTATTCTGTAAAAATATAAAAATATTAAATGTACATCCCTTGACTGTTGAAAGATAAAATCAGCTTTAAAATCATATCCTTTCTTTGGGCTCACATTTCGTGAAATTTAAAAAGGGGAAATTTTCTTTTAAAAATCATATCTCATGGATTTTTGGATATAATTAAGAAATCTACCGCTACTAGTTATATTTGTCAAATATTTCATCGCCACATGAATTGATGGATTAAGTGTATCCATGAGACAAACAAATCCCTTCCTCTTGGAAATTAATCATGTCAATTAATGATTTACAGTATCTGTTATTGTTGAACTTTCGGGTTACTCTCAATGAAATACTGATTTGCTACTTAAACAATTACAATCTTAGCATTAGAAAGTGTGTGTATATTAACTGAATCCTCTACGAATCACAGGTGTCACTCTCATCCAGTAACGTGAAGTGTAGAATACTCAGTAGCAGCGAGGATTTGAACCAACAAACAACGACAACATCGTCAGTGTCTCCCGAAAAAATTGTATCATCTGATAATGTTCTACAGCGGTTGATTCAAAATATGGTACGTACAATATTGAAGGCTCTTGAATTTTTGAAACGTTCAAAATAAGTATAAGCTAGATCGAGTGTATCAGACCATTTCTGTTATAAAGACCCGGTTACATTTTATTTCCATGCAGTATCGTGATGAGGTTTATATTATGCTCCTTTTCAGGGGATTGCTGGGGTCCTGATAAGGATAGGAGTGATGGGGTTGATGAGGCAATCAAACTACAATTTAAGAATAATTTTTGGTCGGAAAGGGTTAGAGGTTGCTGAGCTATATTTCAGTATAATTCAGGATCGGGAAGGGTTAGAGGTCGCTAACCTACAATTTCAGTATAATTCAGGGTCGGGAAGGGTTAGAGGTCGCTAACCTACAATTTCACAATAATTCAGGGTTGGGAAGGGTTAGAGGTTGCTGAGCTAAATTTCACAATAATTCAGGGTCGGGAATGGTTAGAGGTTGCTGAGCTAAATTTCAGTATAATTCAGGGTCGGAAAGGGTTATAGGTCGCTAACCTTTGCTGAACTACAATTTTAGTATAATTCAGGGTCGGGAAGGGCTAGAGGTAGCTGAACTACAATTTTAGTATAATTCAGGGTCGGGAAGGGTTAGTGGATGCTGAGCTACAATTTCGATATAATCACTAATTCAGTTAGATTATATTTTTATGTTATGATGATGTAAATAATACAGATAATGGATTATTTATCGCTATTTTCGATTGAAAAATAAAATCTCAAATAAGCGATACCATCAAAATGAGCACGTTTCATGATATTGAGCGATTTACTTTTATTAGGTCAAAATAATGTGAATATTCTTGTTGGACTTGTCAATTACTTCTTAGGAATTAGGATATGAGTAGTAGCGGTGTTATAATTTGTCTGTGTTTTTTCCAACAGACGTGCAATCGTTATGATTGTGTCCATATGGAGTGTTCGCTGAAACGACTGAATGTGGAATCCTCCGTTACCATCACACTGGCTATCAACATCACAGAGTCATCACTTACGTTTGAAAAGGTAAGGATTTATAGTTTAGAATGTAATGCAAAAGTGATATCTGCTCCAAATTAGAAAGATTAGGGTGTCCAAACTTCGGTTTCGGTTCATAGTACTTTTCCTAATTTTGATTTCTGAATTTCTGATTCTGACATTCTCACATTAATGACATTTTCATTGTTGATGAGGTTTTACATTATATTAGAATGCAGAACGACTCAACTACGTCACTACAGCAGAAATCCACAAACCACAACACCCTAGTGTTACAGTGGCATGGCCCAAATCACCAGTAAAAGCTGAGGTTGGTTCTACATCGGAAAAATGAAAACAATTAAAAAAATGTAAAAAAAAAAAAAAAAAACGCATAGGTTCATCAAATGCATTTTATATATAATGTCTGAGCATATGTAAATATCGGAGAACAAAATAAGAGAAAAATGAATAACCCTACAATAGTATAACAAAATATTTATCTTGTGACAAAGGTCAACTTTGTGTTTATATACTACCCATTGTTCCTTGCACTCACTATAAGTATAGGGGAGATATGGAATCATTGGCTTCTTTTAGATCCGTGCTGACATTTACCCAGCTGAAGAAATAAAGGTGACGGAAGAATTTGAAATTTGGATCCTTATAGTAGGCTGTCTTGGAGGTCTTCTCTTATTTGTGGCACTCGGATTAATACTTTGGAAGGTAAGTTAGCAGTCTGAAATATTGCAAAGCTAACTTTGTCTTATTTTGTTATGAACATATGTCATAGAAATAAAAACGAACAAATAACTGACTTCAAATAGCGGCTTCGTCCTTCAAAATGGCTCTTCAAGTTTAGTTTTGAAATGGCAGTAAAATGAAGTCATAATTGACGTGACATAATAAAACAAGTGATTTAAGGAAACAAGATAGGACAATTTTACCATGGCCAGTTGAGACTTGGTTCAAGAATTTACATCTACTGATCTTCTTGGTTCAATGCTTTTCCTGCTCCAAGTGGGTCTATATATTCATATTTTCTGTCTGATGTTTCATATTCTACAACGTATCACAGGAAAATTCTTTGTATTCACATTTCTCAACTATATATAAGGACTTACTCTACTGAGCAGATGGTTCATAACATGACAAAACAGAAACTGACAATAAATCAGATGCAAAGATACTAAGCCAACAAATCTGATATTCAGAATTTCCTAGTACGGTAGAATCATTAATTTTCGTTGTGATTTATTTTCATTGAATTCCTGGGTACTCTAAATCCACTAATTTATATGTCCACAAAATCAGAAACAGATAATTTTTTTTTATTCAACACAGATACATATACGTCATACTCAATCTCTACAAACAATTAATTGTTTATACATATGAATACATCAAGCTTTTTTGGAGTTAACCAACAATTAAGTTGTAATAATATTAAGCAACATTTAGTATCTGAGAGGGTTTTTTTCATTAGTAAATTCTAAATACTTGTCTATGTTATAAAAGACTTCGATTTTAAGAGTTCTGTATTGAACCCGATGACTTTTGACCTAAAGGGGTTATTCACAAACATTGTCCAATTCGATCGTGATCTATCATTAATATGAATTAAGAAGTATTTCTTTTTCATTCTTTTTTCTTTTACACCATGTGACCTTCAACCTTTTGACTTATAAAAGGATTGTTGTTATCTACATTAACTGATTAACCGACGTATTAACTAAAGTATGACAATCTAGCCGAAGGACCTCAAGATATTGATAGAAAAGGTGTGGTCTACCAACTGACCGACATACAGGTGCAATAATAGAGCACATCTAGCTAATATACGAAATAAATTACAGTGAAAACTTGTGTTTATTTATAAGTATGGAACACACCATCACATCTAATATTTATCATAGTATCACTATGTATATTCATATGGACACACGGTAGTCTTCACGTCAAAAAAAGGAAAAGGGATATATAAAAAATGAATAAATAAATAGTTACATAAAACACACACACACAAAAAACACGTACAAAAAGGAGAAGTTTTGATCAGAAAAAGGAAAGCGAATAAAAAAAACTATTATAAAGTGTGCCATAATAGACGGAATGAATAATATTTTGAAATAGAAAGTAATATTTAGAGTTTGTATGTTAATTTATATAAATACACTTTCCCACTCTTCCCATATCTGGAAAAAAATATTTTGTTTCCATGTATTTATATGGACAACCTTTTCAATATTATATCTTTGTGCAATAAATTCTTTCAAGGAATTGAAATTAAGTCTATTGCTTCTTTTTGAAGTGGAAAAAATAAAACATTTTGTAAGCAGAACAAGGAAATTTAAAGGTTGTGATTTGATAATGTTTGCTGTATATCCAAACATAATTGTTTTCAAATAAAAAAAATATAGTTTTATTTGTTTTTAATTTAATCCAATCTTCCAATTTATTCAAAATAACTTCATTGCATTCCCAAAACATATGTTCTAAATCTTCAATACAATTTTCGCATAAGCTGCATTTGTCATATGTTATACAATTTTTTTTAAATACTTGTTGACTGGTAGAATTTGATTCTGAATTTTATACTGGAACCACTGCATTTTTGTATCTTTTGTAGTCTTAAATGGTAATATATATATTGTATTCCAGTTCAAATTTTGGAAGATAGGATTAGCTTTCAACTTTATTTCTGATGTATTGGTAATATTTTGGTTATTTTCCTTAGTTAAAATATAGTAAAAATCTCCACTCCTTTTTGCTCTTAAATACTATTTTAGTGTGGAAAGGTATAGAAGGTCTTATTACAGTATTGTTAATAAGGTGCAAGTTGCATTTCTTAGTCACAGCTTTAATTGATGAACAGAGACTCTGGTGTCGTAAAAAGTTGTTATATCTCGCCCCAAAATTGTTTTTTAATTTTTCAAAACTACAAAAAGTTCCATCATGATTGATTATATCCGCTACTGTGTTTATACCCTTTTTATGCCAGTCCTCATAATAGATATATTGATTGCCTATTTCAAAATTAGAATTATACCATAAAGGGGAGGTAAGTATGTCTGTTGTAGTTTGTATTCTATTCAGTTTTGACACTTTAATCCATGTATGCAAGACCTCTTTCCAGAAAACATTACTGATATTTAGATTCTCGAAGAATCCTTCGCCAAATTCTGAAAAACGCTGTATGGGACAAATATCATGTTCAAAAATATTTTTCCATTCTCTATCACTACATGTTTAAAGTTTTCTTACCCAAGTGCATTTTAAACTATCAATAAAATGGCATATGTCTATCATTTTTAAATAGATAAAAATTGACATGAGTTCTATTGCCAGATTAAAACACGAAATCAAGTTCAAACGAAAATGTATATTTTTGGAAAACCAAAAAATTTAGCCCTACGGAAAATTATATTTTGACAGTAAACCAAATTAATCTGGCTCCAATCATAAAACAATCGTAAGTCAAAATTGTCTTAAACTTAGACTTAGCCGATCACAAATAACGTCACATAAATAACTTCATATATGACTGGCAAAGCTGAAACTTTTGTCCAAGACTGCTTTGTGATCGTTGAGCCTGAAATTTAAAGACTCAAGACATGTTCAGTACAATATTCCATTATATTGCATGTACTAATACATGATGGCAATGATTTCAGTGTGGATTCTTCAGAAGGAAAAAACGCGAAGAAGTACAAGCATGGAAACGAAAGAGTGGTTACAACGCAAGGCGCACGCAACGAGCCTCATCCATGAACCGGAACACAAGCAGTAGTGTTAAATCTCATTCAAAAGACCCAAGAGCAACATCATTTTTAGAATAATGAAAGGCACTATAGTTAAAAAAAAACACTGAGAGTTTGTGTATAAATGGTAATGATGAAAAATGTTATAGTAAAGAAAAATGCTGGGTTATAGTGTGTGGTATGTATGTTGTCAAGCATCATCCTAATGTAATACAAGGTTTGGTTTGGTTTTTATATATTTAACTGACAAGTTGATGGCGATGAATGATCTTTAAGTATTGATTTTATTTTATATTGTGTACAAGATGGTGAGAAATTTTATGTTTTGTTCATCTTTATTTGTATGAAAATAGAAAAGGGAAAAACTGAAGCGAATCAATCCCCAGATTGTTTTTAAATTCAGAACAAATAACATCGCTTAAACGGCAGATAAATTGAGAGATCATAAGGGTATGTTGACCAGCTGAGACCATACAAATATTTTGAAACCATAATAAATAAATAATAATAGATAAATAAATAGATAAATGAAAATGTTTACCTTTTGAAAGTTTGTCTACATATTTGGAATATTCTGCGAATATCAAGTATGTAAAACCATAAACTGATATACAAGTAGAATATAATCATTTCATATTGTTTATGAGGGGGTCTTTCGTTGTCATAGTCTGACACGGTTGGTTGCCATTTTCATTCAGTATTTAACACAAAGAAGATAAAATTTATCTTTCATGAGAAAGTCTTTATTGATTGCAGTGGTGAAATCATTGGTATATTCACTTTATGGTTAAACATAATATTTAAGTAATTTTCGCAAAACCATCTACAAGACAGGAAGTAAATGTGAAGTATTCTGATGAATTCATCAAACATGAAAACGTGTTCATTATTTTGAACATTTTTTCTGTAAATTCTTAGTGATAGAATCAAAGCATTTGTAACAATTGTTCATCGAACATGTACAGATATCGTCACAGCTTCACTTGTAAATAGCATAAATCAATAACTTTCCTGCGTTGAATATGAAGTATCATTTTTCTCATGACTTGTGTTACAACATGACATTTTGAATAGTATCCTTACTTGTTCACTGAAATGGTGATTCGCAATAAAGATTATGTTAAGCAAATTGACACGTTCGTACAATTCAGGAACTGAAGGGAACCTGCTGTCACATTTTAAGTTTTGCCCTCTTCACCTATTAGCAATATTGATGTAAATAAGCGATTTTTCATGAAAGAAAACCAGTAAAGATAACTGCATGTTTGTTAAAAATCAAATTGAAAAAGAAACCCATTGATCTTTTCATGATTTTCCCGATTTCCCTAAATTTGTGAATTTGAGTCCTTGTAAGATACAAACTTTACAGTAAAACATTCACATCTTTTATTGCGAATTTAAAGACGCGCAAAAACGAAGAGACATGTTCGAAGACAAAACTTGTGACGATTTTTTTTCTCATATTCATTATACACTACACAAGGTTATACAGAAACTGGTTGATATGCATGCATAAATGTTCGGTGCCTTTTGTAAAGCTTTATACAATATGTAAGCCATTGTCGAGAATGAACATGTTGCTTAACTTCAAATATATGTTGTAGGAATATAATACTGTAAGATGCCTCAGAAGAACTTTTGACACTGTTGTCATACATTTTTTCAATTATGGTTAGGTGGCGACAGACACTTTTTAATCATGATTCTGTTGATAGTTTTAGAAAACGAATCTTTGTTTTAAGCATATATTTCGTTTACTATCATAAGGCCAATATCTTAATATGCTTCATTTACCTTTCATGATGATAACAAACATGAAGATGAAGTCGTATCATAATTTAATTTGAGTAAGTACATTCCCTTCGATGAAGTATCGTTATGTATTAACAAATTCAATTTTATAGTTTCCTGTTTTGATGTTTATTGTAGATCGTTTTGTGTACTGCTATTGCGATTGTGTTTTCTAATTAACATGGAGTACATACGTTGGGCACACATTTGTATTTCAATCAAGATAACACAGTGTGACATTATCCCCCGTGCCCGCTCTTTAAAAAACATTTTATATATATTTGACATTTTAACACAATTAATGAAGGAAGACAATTGTTGACTCGAGCGCTGTCCGAGCTGGAAACGTACTCAGTTGTGACGAGGCTGTACACAGTAAAATACATCACCATTCTAAATAATTCTCTGGATCTTTGTTTGTCGAGTCAACATTTTACACCACATATTTGCAATGCTTTTTTGTCCCAAGAACATAATGGACATTTGTTATTATATGCATACGAAAAGTAATCTGCCACATGTTTGCAAAAAATAGCAGTTGCAAATATATCAATATATCATTGTGTTGGGTATATATTTTGTAGTAAGACACAGCACATCATTTGTCATACTAAAAAGCGAAAAAAATGCCCATGTACCTCAGCTGTCTCTCACTTAAATGACTAGTATTTTATACCTTTATGAACTGTTTTTGTCTGTTAATGTACAGGTGTGAGTGAGAGAACTCACTTGATAATAGTTCATTGATGTCACATATGTTACTTCCATTTGTTTTTCATTTCACTGCTAAAATACCAGGTTTAATCTCTCATATAGTTGTTTCTCTTGAAACATTTAATCTGTCCATCTCAAGTGACACTATGCTAACACATCCTTAAAGTATAAGATAAAGGACCATTTACGAGTGCAATTAATCTCCTGAAATTGACAAGGATTACGATCAATATTCTCTCCGGGTTTTAGATAAAGGACAAGTTTTATTCTTAAAGATGGTTTTATGTTGAAATATTTGCTAGAATTTCAAAAATATCGTGCATTATTAACATCTTATTTAATACAAAAACAAAAACATGATTTGTACCAACGATACAGATGTGGGAACAGTAACTCACATAACAGATACAGTAAAGTCAAACACAAATCAAACTGTAGCATAGCTCTGATATATGTTACAATCAAAACCAACAATCGCGGTATCAGAGTAAATGATTGTACAAATTGTTGTAGTTTTGCTGTACGTTGAACACAAACGACTAAAACTTATTTTTGCTGTATATTGAACACAAACGACTAAAACTTATTTTTGCTGTATATTGAACACAAACAACTAAAACATATTTTGATGTATTATGAACAAAAACATTTAAAACTTATTTTTGCTGTATGTTGAACACAAACAATTAAAACCTATTTTTGCTGTATATTGAATTTGCTGTATATTGAACACAAACGACTAAAACTTATTTTTGCTGTATGTTGAACACAAACGATTAAAACCTATTTTGGCTGTATATTGAACACAAACAACTAAAACTTATTTTTGCTGTATGTTGAACACAAACGATTAAAACCTATTTTTGCTGTATATTGAATTTGCTGTATATTGAACACACACGACTAAAACTTATTTTTGCTGTTTATTGAATTTGCTGTATATTGAACACAAACGACTGAAACTTATTTTTGCTGTACGTTGAACACAAACGACTAAAACAGATTTGATGTATGTTGAACACAAACGATTAAAACATATTTGATGTATGTTGAACACAAACATTTAAAACTTATTTTTGCTGTATGTTGAACACAAACGATTAAAACCTATTTTTGCTGTATATTGAATTTGCTGTATATTGAACACAAACGACTAAAACTTATTTTTGCTGTATGTTGAACACAAACGATTAAAACCTATTTTGGCTGTATATTGAACACAAACAGCTAAAACTTATTTTTGCTTTACGTTGAACACAAACGACTAACACTTAATGTTGTTGAAAGTTGAACACAAACGACTTAAACTTATTTTTGCTGTATATTGAACACAAACGACTAAAACTTATTTTGCTGTATTGTATGTTGAACACAAACGACTAAAAATATTTTTGCTTTACGTTTTTACGTTGAACACAAACAGCTCAAACTTTTTTCTTTTTTTTTTTCATGTTATATAGCAGTTTTCTTTTAATGAATCAAGTGTAACAAAGTTTATTTATAACGGGACAATTTCATGTGATTTTTTTTCTCTGATTTTAGTGTACTAGTGCATTTATGAAGAAATTAAAACAATTATTTGTGATGAATAAATATCATATGAAAGACTTCTAATAGTTACTCGTCAAATTTGGGAGGTAAAATCATATAAAAAATATTTACTTTTGTTACTTTTCAAGATCTCTGTGAAATCATTCTGTATATATGTATAGAAACAGAAACATTCCTTTCTGAAACAACTGAAACAGCAGCAATAGACTTACTTGTATCAATCATTTGAAAAAAAAAATAAAAAGATGAAAATATTTCGTAGTGTTTATTATTATCCTCAAAAGTGGTATACATGATGAGATTATATCATTACAAATGGATATTCATAACAAGAACACATGATTTTCATTTATATCTTACAACCGAAATGGATGTTATTCCTGTCATCCTTAGGACATTGGAACATGAACTTGTCATAGTCATTATCATAATGTTTATACCTGTTGGCATTTTGTAAGAAAAATCTACCACTAATGATCAGAAATAACCCATCCGCCATTAACTGCGCAAAATGAAAATCAAAAGTGATGCCCAACAGCGACCTTTGACCTCTGAGATACAAACTCATCCCAGGTTTCTTACAACATTACATTCTTAAATTCCATTTAAAAATTGAAAATAAAATCTGTATTGTGGTTGTATTGAATTTGTTGGCTTGTGATCAATCACCCTGAAGTACAAACTCATCCCAGATGTTCCAATAAATAGGTTTGATTTTTCATGATCATAACCTTTAAATTCCATTTAAAAATATAATTTCTTGATTGGTTTTACTGAACAGATTGTCTTTAGTTCTCCTTTTAATAAATTTAGCAAATGAAAGTTGATTCCTTGACCTTTGACCCCAAATACAAACTCATCTCGGGTGTTGTTTTATTTACGATATTTACTGTCGTTCTTTATCAAAATACGTGAAATGAAGCTGCTACAGTGATCCAACAAAAAATTAGCAATATCACGTTTTGCCAACTGTAACATCCATTGGTTATGACAAATTCAAGAATTGTTAATACATTTTGATAATTTTTAACAACAAAAGGACCAAGTATAAGTTGAGAAATACACTTTTCTATAACAGTAACATTGCGAAATACCAGAGTGTGAAAAACACATATTTCATATATACATAAATGAATATAAATGTATATAAAAGAAAGAAAGAAAATACTGACATATTAAGAAAATTTGAATTCAAACATGCAGATAAAACAATGACAACATATGAATGAATAATGCTAACATTTTCTTCATTACATGTACTAAATCCATGAGTTGACATGACTTTTTCTCTAAAAGCAGTACCCAAGTACATAACATCCTAGGTAGCAGGAAACAGTTTATACAAAAAACAAAGCAAGACTTGACTACTAGTGAAGCTGTTTATTGATAATGCACGAGACGTCTTCTGTAGCAACTAAAAACAATCTCTTGGGCGTAACGATCTCTTTGGCGTAACAGTGGCTACTCACTCATAAGCAAACTATTGAACATTTACTTGTGACAAGCTTGACTCTGTGAATCAGAGAAGCGAAGTAAAGTGAACTGTGCTGGACTCCGGAACAGGAGAAATCACTTGACTCTGATGAACAGAGAAGCAACTAGACTCGCTGATGCCAGAGAAGCCAGGAATGATAGGGCTAGACTCTGTAAGAGTATAGAGAAGTACTTGACTCCAAGAGATTCCGAAGGTTCTAGAGAAGTGACTTGACTCCGACACTGGCTCACAGAGCAGCTAGTATAATAATAGGACAAACTTGACTCCAGGGTAACCAATGAGAAGACTCTGGACTCTGAACCGTTACAGAGCAGTGACTTGACTCATGAAAGGACCCTGTTAAGAAGTTTGACCCCCATTTACACACATACAATATAGTAAAATTAATGAATGAAATGTATAAAAACAAGCTAAAAAGGAGATTTTTAAAATTGGGGGATAAAATTCCTCAGGAATTTAAAAGCCGGAATTTAAAAGTGTAAGGATAGGGCTAGACTCTGTAAGAGTATAGAGAAGTACTTGACTCTAAAGAGACTCCGAAGGTTCTAGAGAAGTGACTTGACTCAAACACTGGCTCACAGAGCAGCTAGTATAATACAAATTGACTCCAGGGTAACCAATGAGAAGACTCTGGACTCTGAACCGTTACAGAGCAGTGACTTGACTCATAAAAGGACCCTGTTAAGAAGTTTGACCCCCATTTACACACATCCAAAACAGTAAATTTTATTAATGACAAGACTAAACAAGCTATATATATACATAAAAAAAAAATTTTAATAGGGAATTTAAAACTCATAGGGAAGAGAATTAAAAGTCAACATAAACCCTAACAAGAGTGAGTAGCCCAACTAAAATAGCAGTCAAAATACAAACATTTGCAAAGAAGAAAGAACTAAATACATTTGTAATAAAAGCGAGAAAAAAAAATTGAACAGGTATATACAAGTAAAACATACAACCATCTGTCCTAAAGGTGATGAAGGGGATGGCGGGTGGGTAAGGCACAAAATGAAACGCTCCTCTCACTCATCAAACGCTGAAACTTAATGGATGCCAATACTGATACCCCTCTACGGGGTAATTGCTGATTGGTTAAAGATAAAGAAAAACACTCATTAGCATACTAATTAGCATAAAGATACGACACATAGATGAACAAACAGAAAAAAATAAACAAATAAATCACAATCGAAACAGGAAACTATAGAAGGAGAACAGTTTCTTGCATAAACTCAAATTTAATAAAAATATTAAATTTTACATTTAATTTCCATGTTTCCTGAAATTATACATCATGTTTGAGATATACAGGTATAGCAGTTTGGTTATGAAAAATACATCCTTACATGTATATATATTTATAAACTACATAACAATTACATTAAAAGTACAGATATAGAAATTGTGTAAATAAAAAATTTCCTCTGATTTCTGACATGTGATTGCCATGGTTACCAACCGAAAAAATGCTAGAAATGCGAAAATACTTCTAATTCCAACACTACAACTCAGAAATCCTTCATAACATGACCACATGTAAACACTCTGAAAATTTCAATTCCTGTAAAGCTGGTTTTTGAACAGACTGAACAAATAAAAAAATGAAACCTGATATTGTCCACTTCAACATGACAAAACCAATTTTAGCAAGGATTTATTTTTGAAATTTTAATTGAAACCTTCATAATGGGGTAATCTAATGAACAAAAATATCACCCATGGCCACACCGAGAAACTGTGTACTGCTACCCTATTCAGCTTATCTACATCTTATCATAACAAGTGAACCACAAGTTCACAATTTACTTGCAAGAAGTTGTCAACTGACTAACTCATAACACAGCATCAGTTTTTTTCTTGTCACTGCACCCATCAAACAAGAATTAAGAGCTCCAATGGGGTCTGCGCTTGACATGGTAATTCAAAAACTTAATAACATTGAAGAATCTATTGGTGACATGCATACTAGGATAGAAACTTTAGAAAAAATAATCAGCTTCTCAGAAACATAGTGAAATGTAAGCCAAAACAACAAGAAATTTCACTACTTAGAAATTTTTTTTTGAGCATGTTGAACATTGAAATATGAACTAATATAAAGTTTTGCTAGAGTTGTCCTTATATAAAGCATTCTGAAATATATGTTAAAAAAAAGGGTCAGTATACACAGCAGTAAACAACAAAAAATCTTGTAAACATTTTGACAGATTATCTTATGTTATTTAAACACAATAATGGTTATTCGTTGGACATTGTACACACTGACGGAACAGCCCAACAACTGATGGAATAGCAAAACAGCGGATTCCAATTTGGCAGGAAAGCTTGTCAATTTTATTGGAAAGACCAAATACAGCTTCATCATATGTATTCAAAAAGGTAGCTGAAGTTGACATTTATTACAAGCTTGATAGAAAACGATAACTCTTCATTCCCTTTTTATTTATTTTTTTATGACTGCCAAAGTGAAAATCCTACTATGAGAAAACATTTTTGGCCTGACATTCATTAGTTTCAATTAAATGAATGAAAAAGTCAAGATCATGATCATGTAAAAGATAATTTTCCAAAAACATAGTTTTATATGACAAATACAATTGCATTTTAATTTTTTAATATTCAGATATGATTGACTTTAATATGATAGCTTACACAATGAATACATGAATGCTCACTTACAATATTACATGTAAAATATCATGATTTCCTGTCATGAAACCATTGTCAAAACAAACGGTTTCGTATTTGGGTACTAAAAATCAAAGCTGTCCAGTTTTCAGTTTTAAATTGTCATAGGTTCTAGCTTTTCACAGACTGATAAACCAAGGAAGAAATCTTCAATATGCACGTTCTTAATTCCCAGTGAATCATTGGCATCTATCATTCTACTTTACTCTCTATCAAAAATTTACAAAATCCTTGACATAACAGTATATATGTATTTGTACAGATTAACTGCACACAGAAACATGAGATGAAGGATTGTTTTACGAATCAGGAATTTTATGTTTCGTATACAACATCAAGTCTTAATACCTTAATACTCACAAAAATTAGTAGCAGTAAAAGATTATCAGCCTACAATTACTATGTTTCCAATACAGAACATTCAAAAGCTGCAACACACCCAGACCCACGAATAAAGTACAGGTTATGGTGAATTCTCAAACAACATTTGATTTTACAACATCAATTTTTAGGCACTGATGGTTTTTGTGTTTTGTATAAGCAGTGATTTGACGATACAAAGGCAATTTTTTTTTTAAATACAGTGACAATAGCATTTACATAAGGGATCAATATAGTTGTAACCACACATTCTTACAGAAAACAACAAAACTAATGAACATTAAACTAAAAATATTTTTCAGATGTACAACAGTCTTTTCCATAAAACCACACAGAGGTGGAATTATGTGTATTTTTTCTTTGGCCCAAGGAGTGATTTTACAGTGGCACACTTTGAAATCACATGTCATCCTTCCTCTTTTCGCTTCTTCTTCTGCAGAATCATGTAAAAGTTGGGGACGTTTGTATATTCAGAAGGAAGATCATTGAGAGGTCTTTTACGAGATCCATTCTTCAGACAATCTGACAGCTTATTCAAAGTCGCTGGTTTGGCTTGTCGGTCTGGTTCTTCAAAGTCAAGGCTAGGAAGTTTTGTATCATCTTTGTTATCCTCATCTAGATTTTCTGTTTCATTTCTTCTTCTGGAAAGACATGTAATCCTTTGTTCTCCAATGGAGCGTGGTTGGATCAGATTTGGATAAGGCGTTGGTTTTTCTGTTAAAGATAGACCTGCATTCTGGTTTGCAGTCAAAACGACATCTTGATTTTGCCCATCATACAAGAAACCATCAGCAATGGCACCAGTTAGATCTTTACTTGTCGTTTGGTCAATTAGTTGAATGTGCAGATTTGAATTTTTAGAGACCCTTCTGTTCGTGCTGATTTTCTTGTTAGTTCTGTCAGGCATCATTTTTGTAGCTGCTACGAGTCCTTGCGGTGTTACAAGAGCTATTTTTGGGCAACTGTCAACTGGTAATATCAACTGTCCCATTACAGCCTGATGGCATTGCGATATATCGCCAGCCTCGGGATGTACCACAGTAATAATATCTGGGGTGTCAGGTGCCGTCAAAACAGTTCCGTTCTGGCAATCGCTGTCCACTTCCACACAATGTGACAACAAAGTAATATTTTCTTGTGATGACACACCATTGGGCGAGTGGTAGGAAGTTGTTGCTGATGGAGTAAGCTTGCTCACTGAAGCAGAATGGTCCAGCATATCTATTCCTAGCATACAATTGATATCTCCATTGTCATGAACAACTGATGCTGAGTCTGTAATGAAATATCAAAATTACATAGTAATAGTACTTCATTCAGCACTGTAGCCCAAAAAATTGACAGCAAATTTATCTTTTCCATTCCATATTGTTGCATATGAGATTTACTGTCAGGGTTGTTTTCCTCAGTTCAAAGTTTTACTGCATAAGTGACAAAAAATAATTTCATCCAAATTATAAAACGGAAAACGGATGTCATTAATTTGTTCAAATAAATGAAAAACAAGGACCCTAAAAAATAATTGCCTATGCAGTATTCATTTTAGCTTGAACTGCCCCAAAGTGTCTAGTGAGCTTTTTACGTACAGCGACAGAGACAGGTGTGAGATATAGGCCCTCTGGCTTGGACAGAACAAAGTCAGCCCAACAGAGACAAGTGTGAGAAAAAGTACTCTGGCTTGGACAGAACAAAGTCAGCCCAACAGAGACAGGTGTGAGAAAAAGTACTCTGGCTTGGACAGAACAAAGTCAGCCCAACAGAGACAGGTGTGAGATATAGGCCCTCTGGCCCTCTTGTTGGAAATGTATCTCACATTTTGAGAGATAAATGATTAAATTTACACTGTTGTTGATCATACATTTTAGGATGATTAACTCACTGGTAACAATCTGTTCATGAGCCTCTGATGCTGAAATTCTTATATCTGGGTTGCCATTCAACATTGCAAGCAGTAAGTTTTTCAACTTCTGGCTATAATTGTCAAGAGGAAAAGTTCTCGTCACATATTTAGCCACTGCGGAAGGGTTAAGGATCATCTGTAATGAAAAAGACATTTAAACATGAGTCTTGTTCTCTAATTGTGGATTTCTAATTTTAGGAATGTTCGATAAAACCAAATTGCCTACAGGCGGCCATATTGGATTTTGAAAGTTGAAGGTCGTTATTCCCTGAGAAATAATCACTGAATCTATCAAAAACTTCCCAATTGTCTCTTGTTGGACTGAATAAAAGCACCAAAAATGCTGACAGGGAGCCTTATTTTATTTTGAAAATTTAGGTTAGTTATCTTTCTATCTTTAGAAGTACTTTCTTAAATGTCATATGTAGCATCCAAATAGTCATTCGTTATGCAATGGCAATTTTGGGACAGATTGGAAAATAAAAAATGGGTGACAGGTGGCAAACTTGTCTTAATGACAGTTGGTTATCGCTTTATATTATTATACATAAGTAAAATAACAACATGATCTTCTCAGAACACTGACGTAAAAACATAATCCATAATACCTTATCAGATATAACCTTCTCATCTCTGGTTTCCAGTGCTTGTGGGACCACGTCATCATCATACACCAGAAAGCAGATAGTGAGGCCACATGCATATACGTCAGCTTTACAAGACACAGGTTTATCGCTATTGCGAAGCCATTGCCACATTTCAGGAGCAATATATGCTGCCGTCATCCTCACTCCTTCACTGCAGACAACATCCTGAGCAAGCTGCACTGATCCAAAGTCTATCAACTTGATGACCAGGTCCTGATTTATGCAAACATTTCCCGCTGAGGACAAATATTGAGTTTTTAATATTTGCAAATTTAAGGTCACCGGGAACAATCTTTTGTAGATATGTATATTTTAGAATAAATATCGTGTATGTCGTACCCTGAATCAATTTTAACCTCTTCATACATTTGTAGTCAAGAGCATTCAGCTACAGGTGAGTTTGACTACCTGTCCACGGTTCAGCTTTCCCCAGTAGCTTTCAGAAATCTTCATCACAGAAAATAGGTGACGTCTATTCCATCAGACAGTAGTGACAACAAGAGTCTCATATAATATAGTTGTTTTATAATCTGTCTTATTTCAGCTGTGATGGTACACGGAGTTATGTAGAGGTATTACAAAACTTGTGAAAAATTATAAATTCTATGCAAACTTCTTAGTTAATACAAAATGAGAAACCAAACAAGGCTGAGATGAACAACAAGTAACGAATCAAGCTGGTAAACTCTTCAATATCTGCCCAACATGTTAATTGGAGAATATATATCAATTTCAGTTGTTGCTGACATTTCTTTCATGTCAGAAAAATACCTGGGTTCACCTTGATACACCTGGACACAGGTGTGTGTTAATGGTCACCACCTTGTCTCAAGATGTCTTACTTACTTGTATATTTTCATACAAAGACTAAGCAGACTTAGAGAGTCTTATCTTAACTATAATGTGTATCAGAATATAATGAGATCGATTCTTTCATCTCAAAATTCTGACAGAAAAGTTATATATTCTTCCAATTACTCATTTACATACTTCATTGTTATAGTATATTATATATGTACGAACAAATAAGTAGGTTTTGCAGTTAATACTTAATATTACTAATATTGATTTAATTCTCCTTGTTCTAGGATAACAACAGGCAAACAATGAATAATAATTACAAGATATGTGTATATATTTGCATGTTTATTTTCCTACGTGTGGATGTTGAAAATATGAAATGTTCAAGCATGGTGAAATTACAGAAGCAAATCAAACCAGCTTTACACTATGTATATACTGACAAGCACAAAAGTGGTTAGATATATAGCAGAATGCATGATGAAAGCCAACCATAAGCTAAAAAAGCAATATATTTCTGCAACACAGTATTTGCCAGTAAGCATAAGAAAAGTGAAACTTAATAAAATAACACAAAATATTGCATTTTGGGATAAAATAAAACTGGTAATAAAATAGTTTGGTGCTTTAGTGTAAAAAAAAAAAAAATACTAATCATTTTGATATGTCTTATATCATGTTAATACTCATGTTATATGAGTCGGTAGTTCATTCCTTATGTAATTCAGGTAAAAGTGGCCATCTTGCTACCTTATCCAGGTGCATTCACAGTTCAATGTACTAATTAGTGTCCTTTCAAGAGAACTAATTCCCTCCAACCAGCAGGTGTCCAGGGAGTACTTAGGTAGCCAAGTACATTTGAATTGGGATTTAACAAAGATGAATGATGTGATGAATGTTGCATTTAACAAACTCTTTATGTTTAGATTAAAACAATTTTTCTTTTCAAAACAAAATCTGAAAAAAGTGAAAAGATGGTTCCAATCACTGAAGTAAGTACCAGACAAAAATCGCAAAACAAACAAATTTATATAGAATCATGTTTTCAGCTACCGAAAGGTGTCACTTATGTGTAAATATAAATGTGCAGTGAACGGAGAGAAGTCAAAATAAGTAAAATTCCTCTTTCATCAAAATACTGTATGCCTATAATATCCAGGATACAATTCATCACCCGAATTATCATTACTGGACATTGTTTAGCTACCTGAGGCTCACACTTGGTCCGACAACCAACTCTTAGTTGTTTTATGGCCCTAGACATCCTTACTTAATCAAATAAAGCTGATTTAATGTACACAGTCTTCATAAACACTACTACTGTGTCTGGTGGTGGAATTGATGTCACAAATGATCAACAAATGTGAATCTTTGCTTTTCAGAAGGGAAATAACTTTAGATATTTAAACTTCCTAAGTTGTTTACACATAGAAATAATGTTATCTTTACATTGTGCAATACACTGATGGCCTTTTAAAAGATTATCTAATGAATTTTCACAAAATTTGAATTTTTCATTTTCAATGCTGGTTACTGGTGAGCTGTTGTAATACACAATGAAAGACATCCATCCCATACAAAACTTTCAAATGTAAAACTGGATGAGGACCAAGATAACATTAATGATATAACATTTTCCCCTCCTTATGAACAAAAACGAACTTTTCACTAACGTAATATAGGGGTCCATCCCACTTTTTCAATTTAGGTAGAAAATGAAAAGCATGATCATGATTAAAAACTGTTTTGGTTTGATATAACCACTATAAAGAAGAGCAAGAGGCCCATGGGCCTTAACGGTCATCTGACGAAAAGCAAGCCAAACTCTAACAACAGTGAGTCTGCTGATAAAACAGTGGGCTTTATTCATTTGAATAAACTTGGTAGCCCTTCCTCCCAGCATCCTGCAGGCCAAATATCAGCACTCTGAGCCTTTTGATTACTGAGAAGAAGTCGTTTACAGATTTTAACATATATGAACCCTGTGATCTTGAAAGTGGGTCAAGGTCATTCACTAGAACACATTTGGTAACACTTCCTAAAAGCATCCTCCAGGCCCAATATCAGCACTCTAATCATTTTGGTTATTGAGAAGTCATTTGCATATTTTAACATATTTAACCCCTGTGACCTTGAAAGTGGGTCAAGGTCATTCATTTGAACAAACTTGGTAGCCCTTCATCCCAGCATCCTACAGACCCAATATCAGCATTCTGAGCCTTTTGGTTGTTGAGAAGAACTTGTTTAAAAAATTTCAACATATTTGACCCCTGCGACCTTGAAAGTGGGTCGAGGTCATTCATTTGAACAAACTTGGTAGCCTTTCCTCCAAGCATCCTACAGGCCCAATATCAGCACTCTTGGACTTTTGCTTATTTAGAAGAAGTCGTTTGTATATTTTAACATTCCATGCCAGCATGCTATGGGCAAAGTATTAGCCCCCTAGGCCTTCTAGTATTTGAGAAGAAGTTTTTTGAATGAATAGTTTACGGACGACACAAGGTGCAAGGCGCACGACGCACAGCGGATGACGACGGACGAAGCACGATGGCTTCGGGTCAGATGACCTAAAAAACCTATTGTTTTGATGTAAGAATGTTTTCCAAAATTAGCATGCACCAATGATATAAGTATTTACATAAACAATAATGCTTATTTTATACAAGAAATTTAGATTTTGTATTTTCACATCTATTTCGTCATCAGACCTGACCTGAGCTTAAATGATACATACGTTTGATATCTTGGTGGATCACACCATGGTTTTCAAGGTGATTCAAAACATCGGTCAGTTGTTCAAAAATTAACCATATCTCAGCTTCCTTCATTGGTCGGTTTTTCTTCCATTGATGAAGAGAATCACCTATAAATAAACAATTTAAAACATGAAATTTTGGTAGATATACCGACTATTTCATAAAGTGAAGGAGCTTAAAAACACACCACATCAAGGCTATCCACAGTGTAAAGAAGAAAACAGTAGGTTAGCAACAGTTGATATAAAAATTATTGACGTAATATGATGTACTTAAAGAATCTTACCACAAAACTCCATACACAACACATGGTGACCATCATCCAACCTGCTTCCATAAACTGCTGGTAAGTTTCTATGAGCCAACGATTTTAGAATGTCCTTTTCTCTTTCCCTTGGCTTTCCATAGTACTATAAAAATCAATATAAGATGAATTAAGCAGTATCATACAGATGTTTCTTCCTGAAAGGCATCATCTGTTATACTAGTTGCCAATGTTTGGAAATTTTTAACATGTTAGGGCACTCATAATATGCCAAAACATGCAAAGGATATATATATCTATATATATATTGAGAAAATTAATCACTTAACATGACAAACAAATATATCTCTAACGTTTTCAGGCCTCGCAGCCATCTTCAGGTGATTACATTACATGTACACTGTACATTACTTAGTAACTTACATTGTGACGTAATGTTATTGTTATAATAAAAGGGGAGTTTTATAACAATAACATTACGTCACAATGTTGGTTACTAAGTAATGTAATCACCTGAAGATGGCCGCGAGGCCTGAAAACGTTAGTGATATATTTGTTTGTCATGTTAAGTGATTAATTTTCTCTGTATACATGATACACAAAGTTTTTATCTTTTTGAATTATATATATATATATATAGATTAGGAAATGAACAAAACCTTTAATCCAAATACTTTTGTAAATTTTCAATATTGTACTTTCTTTGTGTTTAAAACACTGATCAAAAATGAAAACTATACAAACTGTTGATTATTTCAGCTATTTTCTTGTCTACCTTTTTGTGGACTACAAGCTTGTTGGTGTTTACATGTTTGTACACATCACATGTGGCATCCGCTCCCTTTCCCAGAAAACTCACAAATATTTCATTCCCTTCATTCAACTTCGTGCTGTCACTACAAGAAAAATAGAGATACATAAATATCCCTCCATCAAATAGTTCTGGACGTTCAAGCATTAACATAAAATCCATTTCAAGATGATTTTCAAAATAATAATATAATTGAATTAAGTTTTATCTTTAAAAATAACATCCCAGTATACTACAAACACTACGACATAGAGAGGTTGTTTATACTTGCTTTCAACCTTAACTGACTTACTAAGTTGATTGATGGTTTTGTTTCAAAGTTTCCAGTTTGCTTTTGAAAATGTTGTCTCTGACAACGATATTGCAGTCCCCCAATTCCTGGAAGTCTTGTGGGGGGACATGTAAACCGACTTGATCCCTTCCACTTCTGATATTTCCCTGAATGTTGTGAAATGGCTCCTGCAGCATAGCCTGCCTCCTGCAAAGGTAAACAGCATTGTTAGCACATATGCCCACGTAATTATTACAGGATTTTTCACAAAGATATCAAGCATTGAATATGAAAGTTCTAAATGCATATGAAAGTTCTTCAACATTTTGAAAATTCACACAAAGTCAACCTATTCAACCATGTGAGAAAGTATATTTTCTGTTTACTTTAGTCTATCCAAAGTATGGTAAGCAAAGAGCGGTGAGTAATTAATTTGGTGATAAGAATTGCTTTCAGTGATAAGGTTTTGAATAAATGTATTTCTATTACGTTTCTTCAACATTATCTTCATTGACTATCTCTCTAGTTTTCTGTGGCCAAGACATGTTCTCCAAGTCCAGAATGTAGTCACAGATATTGTCATCATCTAACTGGCAGGGACTTGGCTTGTCATCAGTAGGCTGTTCTAACAGTCTTTTAAGACAGTCCAGTGTGGGAATATCAGGTTGTCCTACAGGAACAGGATCTTGGACACTAGTGTTTGGTTTTACCATTTTTCTTCAGCTATCTAAAATAAAGAGAAAAAGCTTACTGTGTAATTAGGTGTAACAATAAACTTACTACTTGGAGACTATAATTAGAAGTAAATGTTATGGAGTTATTCACATAAATACTGAATTGAATTGGAATAGGGATATGGTAAGTACCGTCAGAATTATCTCTGTGTTAGATTTCACTTCACTTGTGTTTTGAAGACACTTTTTTATTACATTTTTGTCAGTAATCTATAGAGAAATAGTTCACCTATAAAAGTGTTGCTTTTCACCTTCGCAGACTTACACTAGTGAAAAAAGAGAACACAAATCATCTGATAGAATTAACAAATCATAAAGCCTGGTACAAAAACACGAAACCAGTCATCTGAAGGGTTGTTCACTTGTGACACGACCTTCAATTCCACGGTAAACATTCATTTCCATGGAAGTGGGCAAACTAGGCAAGCCAGTAACTTAAATGACCCTTGTAGAGGTCAAACCTGATCACCAACCAATCGTCTTAAGAGAACTGGTAGGCATTTCAAGAAGATTTGTGTCATCAACAGTGGCAGCTAGGTTGCCATCACAACAGCTGTGTAACTTGTCACAGGTTAAACTTGAGCTTGTGAAAATGTACTATATAGAATAGTCAAGAGTGTTTTCACATATATTTCACAAGTGTATCTGATATTTTTTTGTATCCAGTCCACTTGTGCTGCGCACTACTGAAAGATATTAAAATATCATACACACTTTAAAGATATATCTGTTATTACTGAAGACCACTAATATCCTCTATTTATTCAAGCAGAATTGATCCCCCAACTCCATCCTGTATTGTTTAGACGTACATTACTTCTCCACTATGGCACTATCTAATTAGGTTGACTTTCATTGCACAATTTCTAAAGAAAGATATACTGTACATGCATCAAACACATTACAGAAACAGTAGGGAGTAGGGTATTTTCTCTTTCATTTTTGGCAGACTCTCATCAGCTAAAGTGAATATTTTATTTTGCTTGTGCTATGTAAAATTCATGTGGGATCTACTGGAAATATCCAGAAAAAAATAAGAGAAAATCAAGAGGCCCAAGAGCCTGAACAGTCATCTGACTGTACAGACCTAATTATATAACAGTAGCAGTAGGAAATCATTGAATGATCAAGTTTGGGATATTTAAGTAAACAAAAATACTCTTTGCTTCAGTTCTCAACTTTCCAACAAAATTTGTGCTCAATGGCAACAGTGGAACGGAGTAAGAATGAGTTCAATATGTGTGTGTTTTTTCAGATGGCTGCCATATTGGATTTCAAAGTGAAATCAAAATTAACAGCACTTGGCCATGACTATCTCAGGATAGATTCTGGCAAGTTTCAGCTAATTACAACTGTCGGAGCTTGTACAAAATTCTTAATTGGTATTGTTCTTGGGCCTGATGGGTAGAGCCTAGTATAGGAAATTTAGTAAATTCTTTGACAATCGTATGTAGAAACAACAAGATTATGCATAAATTTGTGTCTGATGCATCCATGGGTGAAGGAAACTGAATTAGGTAAAAGAAAATGGATCTGAATTTGTCCAGAAAATGTAACTGGTAGGGAACCCAGAACCCTGTGAGGGGTGAGTATGTAAGTGATATATGATTTACATTATATTTCATATATGAAAAAATATGTACAAGTCATGTATTTAATTCATCAATATTTCAGAGTTTTTTTATAAGGTATTAGGAATTTAAGTCTACCATTCTTGTAATACCTCTGTTGAAACATGCATGATTCATTTATGTAAAATGTGATTGGGATGAGTATTGTGAAATTGTAAAGTGTTAAAGTGTGTGAGTTATGTCCCTTGATTTTAATACTTATAATCTAAATGAATGTATTGTCTTTTTAAGGATCACTCATTTGGCATAAACATTCGTGAACCAAGATGTGTGAAGATGCTTACATTCCAACACTATCATATATTGCATCAGAAGTTGTTCATTTATCCTACTGTTATGGCAGGGACGTAGATATCTACGTCCCTTGTTATGGGTATGACGATTGGAGAATTCAACCAGAAGCCACAAAAAAGTTCAAAACTGGTGAATTCTGGTACTAAAATAACTGTTGAGCACACATATTTAACATATAATTAAAGACAAACAAGTTTGGACCTTTCAAACGATGAAACATATTCACACGTGATCCGTCAAACCTAACTGCGCAGTAGCCTATCGGTATGTACCATGCTTTGTAGGTTTATATAAACATAAAATACTTGCAAAGAATACTGTTATTTGAAGCATTTGTTGTATCAAAGAAGCAAAAGTCAAAAATGACTGAGAAATGCGCTATGATAGCAAATTTGACAAAAAAATGTACTCACAAGACAATTCCGATGTTGCAAACACCGCTTCAGGAACAGTCATATGATCGTGATCGGACCATCAGGGGGGTTCCAAGGGGATTTCCCTGAAAATTTATACGCCTAGCAAAAACGTAGAAGTTCAATTGAAGAAAAACGATTCAGTGCACCTCTGAAAATATTTGCAATATTTCACAAAATATTCATATTTATGTACTTATATTTACACCATCAGTGTATCCCATAAACTCAATCCGGTTTGTATTCGCATGCGCCCCTGCTTGTAGCAATATAATTTTAAACAAGTTACTTTCGATTTCAATGTGTTTGTCATTCATCCAGATTGCAATCATACTGACAATAAATGCAACCTGTCATTGTCCATTGGCGAAATTAACATATCCACATACTTGTAATGTGCATAGCTCTAACATTGAACTACATATGTATTGTCTATGTTATCTGAATTTTTTCAGTAAATGTAGAATCAGAGACGTATATATCACATGTGATGTATACGTCTCTGGTATAATGATCTGGATGTCACCGGAGAAAATTTAAATGGTGAATCAAGTTAAGAATTGTGTTTGAAGATATATATAAATTCTATCTACTAAAACAGATCCGATGATTTATCTACATTCTGATCAGTAAAGACAATTAAAAAAATATATATCAGTTGGGTGTTGAGTTAAAAGTGGACGTTGACTAGTTTCCATAGCAATCATACACATGTAAGCGTCTTTAATGAGTTTTATGAAATGATTCTATAAAGTTTTACAATTTGTACCTTTTCAGGAGTCTCCGAGTTCATATTTTGCCCTCCTTTTACTGAATATGAGTTTGGAATACGTCGATACGTTCGTATTTTCTTGTTGTTATTTTTTTCAGTACACTTGGTTTCAAACCGTTTGGTCGGGATGTACAGTTAAACTTCGTTAACTCGAATATACCATTCTGGACTTTCTGGTCCAAGCCATCACTTGAATAAGTTGTACAAAAATAATAATAATAACAACAACAATTGAATAAAAATGAATCGGTGACCATGGAGTTAGATATCGACCTTGACAGTAAAAATCACACTTGAAAAGTACAATAGTATTTCTTCTCTTAAAGTTCCGAAGTTTCCGCTTTAGACGAGATGTTACGTTAGCTATTTGTACCTCATCCCATGTCATTACATAGTTATAAATAGATAATGCCCCGTTAAGACTTCATCGTTTGGAAATAAAATCTCTGACTAATGTCACATTGAAACAAAAATCATATTATTAATCAGATCTCATCCCTTTTCACAAAACAGTTTCTTTTGATATTTTACGTGAAGGTTCCAGCTCGCTATGAGATGTCTCTTATTTCTATCTTTTGAATTGTGTACATTCTCATTGTTTATTTTCGTATTTTTTAAAAAAAAGTTTTCTTTTGACAGATGGCGAATCAACTTTGTACTAAATAAAGTGACAGGAATATTCACATAGCGTCCGCAGACAATAGGGCCAGTTATAACCCGGTCCCCCTTCTGACAGCATGGTCTCATAAAGGTCTACACGATCTCTTGTCGAAATGTGCATTTGTATTCCCAACAACAAATGAGACAAATAATTTCAACACATGTAGTTATATAATGCGAAATCGTATCATTTGGCTGAATCAGACGAGTAAAGTATATCATAATAGTAACGCCTATTGGTAGATAGAATAACAAAATCTGCAGTTGATTCTGAAAGTTTTAAAGTGGACACTCCGACACAGTGACTTTTTGTTGAAAGAAGCTGTATCTACTTACCTGTATTATGTAACGTTATATCATATACATTACTTGTATGTTAATTGATAACAACACATGACGTTTGAATCAATTACATGATTTTGTATAATTTTGTTTGTCTTTCATTTAAAATAGACTAGTTTAGGTTCATAACCGTTTATTTGTTCCCTAAAATTAAACAAAATACAAACTCGCCGAGCAAATCTTCATAATCACGTTGCCATGGTTTGCGATACTCTCGTCTAAAGGATTTAAAACCAAAATAAGTGTACTGAAGATATATACTTGTCCATTAAGATACTTAGAGTCCATTCTAAATCCTTTTACAGTCAATTAATGAACCGATCTATAACCAAAACGGACCTCTTTTGGAACCCGAATCCGTAACTTTATGTTAAGGTTGCTATATATTTCTGAGGACCAATCCGTAACGTAAACAAGATTGTCTTCCTCCATTTTGTGAATATCATAGGGGGCTGAGCTTAAATGATATATCGCTTAAAAGCGGATGTTATTGACGTGTCTCCCTGACAATAAAAACATACCTTAGACTGCTTTGTTATTTATATATGAGCGAAATCTCACGTCATGTCACGCTTCGATGCCGAATTCAACAGTTCGCTAAACTTTGCGAAGGGCTCACAATTATTTATGACCACAACATACAAATATAGTAATACAAATTTCTGATATTTCCGATATTTGCTCCCCTCATGGGTTGGAGTCATCTGGGGGTTGCCTGTTCTGTAATTTGGAGACGACTCCCTGGTCTAAAGGTAATTATGTTGATGTGTCTAGACTTCCGGCGGTGGAGGGGATCCATGTCTTCTTTCCTGCCGAATCCCATGCTGTCTTATTATGATTGTTAATTTTGGTTATGTGAAATTTAGAAGTCCTTTCTTAATAGAATGAAAATGACATTAGGCGGAATGTTGTTTTGTTTAACTTGGGCTTATTCGGGCTCCTGGGCGGCGTTAAGCGCCTGCTCATATTATCAATAACCACAGGAGGATCTTTTGCGTGCGAGGTTGGACAATTCTCACACAGGTCACCGTTTAAAGTCCCGTCCGCCGGACTATGATTAGTTGTTAGTGTGGTGATGCTGTGAAATTTACTGTTGTACGTCCCATCTGGTTAACTTTCCAATCGCACTGTGGGTAAACTGATCTGCTTTTCAAAATGTCTATGGCTTTCTCTGTTTCAATTCTGACCCTTCAACATGGATTTATTTACCTTTCCGACTTGTACCTAATTGTGCTTGTTTTTAAAAAGGGGTTAGTGTTGGTTTTGGCGAAAGATGTTAGATTGACGTGGAAATTAGACAGAGAGGTTAGAGAGATATATTTAATGTAGACAGAGAGGTTAGAGAGATAGATTTAATGTAGACAGAGAGGTTAGAGGGATAAATTTAATGTAGACAGAGAGGTTAGAGGGATAGATTTAATGTAGACAGAGAGGTTAGAGGGATAGATTTAATGTAGACAGAGAGGTTAGAGGGATAAATTTAATGTAGACAGAGAGGTTAGAGGGATAAATTTAATGTAGACAGAGAGGTTAGAGGGATAAATTTAATGTAGACAGAGAGGTTAGAGGGATAGATTTAATGTAGACAGAGAGGTTAGAGGGATAAATTTAATGTAGACAGAGAGGAGGGATAAATTTAATGTAGACAGAGAGGTTAGAGGGATAGATTTAATGTAGACAGAGAGGTTAGAGGGATAGGTTAGTTAGTAGACAGAGAGATAAATTTAATGTAGACAGAGAGGTTAGAGGGATAGATTTAATGTAGACAGAGAGGTTAGAGGGATAGATTTAATGTAGACAGAGAGGTTAGAGGGATAGATTTAATGTAGACAGAGAGGTTAGAGGGATAAATTTAGACAGAGAGGTTAGAGGATAATGTAGACAGAGAGGTTAGAGGGATAAATTTAATGTAGACAGAGAGGTTAGAGGGATAAATTTAATGTAGACAGAGAGGTTAGTAGGAGATAGAATTTAATGTAGACAGAGAGGTTAGAGGGATAGATTTTAATGTAGACAGAGAGGTTAGAGGGATAAATTTAAGGTAGACAGAGAGGAGGGATAAATTCAATGTAGACAGAGAGGTTAGAGGGATAGATTTAATGTAGACAGAGAGGTTAGAGGGATAAATTTAATGTAGACAGAGAGGTTAGAGGGATAAATTTAATGTAGACAGAGAGGTTAGAGGGATAAATTTAATGTAGACAGAGAGGTTAGAGGGATAAATTTAATGTAGACAGAGAGGTTAGAGGGATTGTAGAATTTAATGTAGACAGAGAGGTTAGAGGAGAGGTAGATTTAATGTAGACAGAGAGGTTAGAGGGATAGATTTAATGTAGACAGAGAGGTTAGAGGGATAGATTTAATGTAGACAGAGAGGTTAGAGGGATAGATTTAATGTAGACAGAGAGGTTAGAGGGATATATTTAATGTAGACAGAGAGGAGGGATAATGTAGACAGAGAGGTTTAATTTAATGTAGACAGAGAGGTTAGAGGGATAAATTTAATGTAGACAGAGAGGTTAGAGGGATAAATTTAATGTAGACAGAGAGGTTAGAGGGATAAATTTAATGTAGACAGAGAGGTTAGAGGGATAAATTTAATGTAGACAGAGAGGTTAGAGGGATAAATTTAAGTAGACAGAGAGGTTAGAGGGATAAATTTAATGTCGTAAGAGAGAAAGTATGAAAAAATTTAATGCTGTGATAGAGGAGGGATAGATTTAATGTAGACAGAGAGGTTAGAGGGATAAATTTAATGTAGACAGAGAGGAGGGATAAATTTAATGTAGACAGAGAGGAGGGATAAATTTAATGTAGACAGAGAGGTTAGAGGGATAGATTTAATGTAGACAGAGAGGTTAGAGGGATAGATTTAATGTAGACAGAGAGGTTAGAGGGATAAATTTAATGTAGACAGAGAGGTTAGAGGGATAGATTTAATGTAGACAGAGAGGTTAGAGGGATAAAATTAATGTAGACAGAGAGTAGGGATAAATTTAATGTAGACAGAGAGGTTAGAGGGATAGATTTAATGTAGACAGAGAGGTTAGAGGGATAGATTTAATGTAGACAGAGAGGTTAGAGTAGACAGAGAGGTTAGAGGGATAAATTTAATGTAGACAGAGAGGTTAGAGGGATAAATTTGATATAGACAGAGAGGTTAGAGGGATAGATTTAATGTAGACAGAGAGGTTAGAGGGATAAATTTAATGTAGACAGAGAGGTTAGAGGGATAAATTTAATGTAGACAGAGAGGTTAGAGGGATAAATTTAATGTAGACAGAGAG